TACGACTCAAAGGTACCACCGATGGAGCATCTAATGTGCTATTACAGTTAATGGTCAGTTCATCGTCCTGAAAAAATTTTCTTAACTTATATAGAAATATAAAGAATTTTGCTTATGACTTTTGATCCATCTTTCTAACACATGTAATGCGCATTCTGTAGATTCAGGAAACATAGATTTAGGAAAATTCCAGAAAGATTCATTACTGCACATTTTATCTTGATCGATAACGTTTAAAACAACTTATATTCCAGCCTAAAACTGAGCATAACAATGCTAGGTTAGATTTGAAAAGCTGAAAAGCAAGAAAAAAAACTGTCCTCAAATAAAAACAGAAGCAGTGTTGCCGAGAGAGAGAAAGAAAAAACCAAATCAAAGAAATGTCATTGATACTGAAAAAAACTTCAGCAGCTAAAACAGCTTGCTGAACATATATGTTACAAGGTGTTTGTGAAACAATTAAAAGAAAATGCTGCGTTAATTCACAAAAACATTGGAATAATTATTAATAACCAATAAGTCTCTCACTTGTTTCGATGTGCCCTGTTCCGATAGAAAAATGTTTGAGGACATTTCTTCATTATCATCAAGCTGTTCGCAGGATTGCTCAACTAACGTAGAAGCAACGTTCCTAAATGGATAGTAAAGTGAAATTTGAAATCGAAAGGCTTGAAAAAAAAAATCGAATAGAAAATCGGATATTTTTATACTTTCTGCATATTTCTCCCAGTATTTAAATTAAACAGAAGCTAATATGAGCAGATTTTTCGAAGCGATAAAAAAATATGCATGAAATGAAGTCTTTATCATCTATTCCTTCAGAAAATAAAATAATCACCAGTTTGAATTTCATTTTAAAAAAGAAAATGAAACTAACGCTTTCTCAGGTACAACAGACATATTTTATGCGCTGCAATAGATCCGATATATTTTGTGTTGTTTCAAAGTAACAACCTAAAAAGTTACAAGCTATAAGTCAGAGTTACAAGTTATAAGTTAGATTATGAAAAGATAGCGGTCGAACAATCTTTTGAAATAAGCAAGTTATGTTTAAAACATTTCGATATTATCTTTTGTCGCTAACATCAAACATTAAAAATTTTATCTGAAGAAGTATGACAAATTACAGTAAATACATTTGGAAAAAAAAAAATTGTACACATAGCATGCTATCTTCTAGATATATTCCGGTTCCACTGTGTCATTTGAAGTACTACAAAGAAACATGACAAATCATCAACTAAAACTAGAACAGATTCCTTACGTTAGCTATTTAAACATTTAAACCAGAAAATTCGCAGACGTTCAAATGATGTATCAACTCCATTGCTACAGTTAATGCGCAATTAAACTACTTATTAAAAGCACTACTGATTAATTTTATTGGTTTATAGATAACAGTAAAGTCGACTTTCTCACATTACGTAAAGCTATAATTGAATAAACTGAAATGATAAATTTAGCAAATAAATAACAACAGAAACAAGTAAAATACTTTTAAAAGACAAAAAGGAATAGTAATGCAAGAGTTTTAGCAACAATAATGTCAAGAAGAACAATATTTTTATAAAAAATAATCCATATTGCTTGTTTTTTTTTTCGTTTGGAAATATCATCTGTCATCTAATTATTGACAACTTGAACATATTAGAGCGATAAGTAAAAATCATATGCTGCATAACACTACAACGCAAAGAGACAACAAAAGAACACTCAACATAATATCATCTTTGCCGATAAAAGTAAATCCGATTTTTTTTTCCTTAAAAATGACATGGATTTGCAAACAAAAGATGATGCAGTGAAATTGTCTGCTTAAAAAGAAAAAAATGCGACTCTGGCAATAACCGAAAAAAAAGAAACTATCAAGTTCTCAAACTTATGGGAATTGAACTATCGGAAAATAGATATCCAACGCAAAATTTCCTTACAAAACAGTTTGCACAAAATTACTGCTAATAAAAAAGATTACTCATCTACAACATAGAAGCTACTGCTATGACCTTCCTCTAAAACTTACCCATTTTCTTTATAACATTCAGCATTCGCACTAAAACGTTTGACTTTCCTCATCAACTCTCTCATTTTAACTGAATCCATCAAAATTTCCTAGTATAATTCATATTATATTGATAAAAATGCCTGCGAAAAGCACCGATGTTCTTGAAGCTCCGAAGAAAAATGATACTTACAAAAGATCACGACAAAAGTGAAATATTTCAAATGACAGAACATTTCAAATTAAAACTTGTAAAAACTGCATAAAAAAGAAAGATTGTTGCTTAATATCTGCATGCATTAATATCTCGTCCGTAACTGTCGTATCCCAATTCTGCTCATTCGATCTATCAATAAACAAAGCCTTCATCCTGAAATCATCATTTGTAACTCTAAAATTTTCAAATGATAATGAACATTTGGAGAGTCGAAATAACGTTTCAATTCAATATACGAATTAAATTTCCATAAATATACTTCACATGAGGTGGCCTAAAATTTGATATCAACATTGGACTTCTTAACCCAGATTTTGAACAGTGTGACATGATGGTTTATAAAATCACAACTACTACTTTCAGAGGAATAATCCTGTGATTTACCACGACAGAAAAAACCTTCGAATCATTACCTAACTCTTTCAGTGATTCTAATGATATTGGCGAGCATCCTGTATGATGTGACAGTACAGTCTGCATGAATTCTGAAAACTAAGAATTTTAAAAAATTAAGAATTTAAACAAACTGGACTATAAGCAGCCACTTCTCGTAATAGTACCAGAAGACAACTTGGCGTATTTCACTAAGTAAAATATAAAAATAATAAGTTTATCAAACAAAACCGGAAAAGCATAGTGAGTAGTTTAGAATTACAATTAATGAGGAGAAAAAAGATGAAAATTTAACTAAATATTAGAAATGACTATTACTAAAAGGGAGCAAGAGAAAAGCTTAGCTCTTCTCTTGATCTACTGATAGCAGACGAAAAATCTCCTGATACATTCAGATCTTCAAGCTAAAATCGATATAGCGACCAAACAGGTTCAAATGACTAACAAATTCTTCTGGAGATCTACACAGGAAGTAAGACATAACTAGCTCTAACCTCGACTCGGCAGGCACGATTCATTGTAGCTCTTGGATTTCTTTAATTACAGTCATAAAGTGCGTTTCCAACCAGTTTCCTGTGCAGTACCTTTATATACAGTTGTGATCAACTATCATCTTTAATTGATATTAATGGATACAAGGCAAATATTCATGATAAAAATAATTGAGAGATAACAGCAAACTGATTAGGAAAAGAAATTAACACAAAGTTGACCGTAATCATGTGTTTATTGATTTTTCCTTCAACTCACTTTAATTAATTGCGGTAAACACATTTATAATGAAATCTAATCATCAAAGGTTTTTTTTTTGCAATGCCTCCATTTTGGAAATCAGTAATATATTGTAGATTCTGAAAACTCACAATTCAAAAGATCATAAACTCGGGATTGTATTGAGTATCTTCTTCCGCAACTGCAATCGACGACATGCTTAACTTGATTGGCTGTGTCGGGAAATTAATAATATGGAAAAACTGGCAAACTGCAACTGAATGATATTATTAATTAGTGCATTTAACTCAAACAATATCAACAACACTACCAAAACAGTCAACCTTTTATATCAAAGGACATAAAAAGAGTCATATCAGTGAATGATTAACTTTTACTTTAAATTAATCTTCATCTACAAATATTCGCAAAGAAACTACAAAATATAAAACCTTTCAGCCGATATTTCCATGTGAAGACTTTCTTGCTTCATAATACGTCAATATTTCTTGCATCAAGGGTTACACCACTTCCAGATGATGATAACCAGTCCACTTTGATCATATGTCGCACTTCTTTTCTTTCATCATCTACAATTAATTTATAACTTTCTTTAACTGAAAACGATATTCGTTTCATTATAATCATGATCAAAGTTATCAAAAAAGAACAAACAATAAGCAGTGAAAAACAAACATCGTAAACAAAAATTTCTAATATAATTTCTAGAGTCTGAATCGATAACAAATAGATAAGAAAGATAAGAAAGAATATGAAAAACACTTAAATCCTATCTTTTATTACTTACTCTTTTACCTGCAATATATCTCATATTTCTTGCTATAAATTTTTATCTATTAAATACTGAATAGTCCTATTTGAAAAATAGAAAAAAAAAAAACATTTATCTTGACATTTACCTTATTAACAAGCGATCATTCATTGAGAAATATCCAATAAGCAGAAATGAAATATTTCCTAGTAATGACAGTTTCTACTTCATTACTTTCATGCATAACTAAATATTTTCCTATCTTTATAACACGCTGTTTCACGTAATTCAAATTCTTACTTTGCATTACCTTAAAGACAAAAATTAAATTACGTGACGTGAGACTAACAAATGTAATTGACACAATTACGTCAAACAATTCCAAATTTCTTCTGTAACGTAAAACATCTCTACCAATTTGTCTAACAATCTATTACTACCTCTCTACCGCTAGCAACCAATACTATCTCATATATCCTCTCAACCACTACCACTCCCCACAATTCCACCATCATATACTACACCCCACTAATTGTCTATCTTAAAATTCTTACGCTACACTTCGTTGCTATTACTCAAAATGTCGTCAATCCCTTGTTTCTCTCAAAATAACACACCATTACTGCTACTTCCAATCTCTGAGCAAAATAATCACACTCTCTCTAACATTCCTCTCTCCCTCTCTCCCTCTCTCTCTTCATTATATCTTTAATTCATGCCTTCATTATTGGTATCAAATAATCATTGTTGCAAAATATCGTAGTTGCAAACATTCGTTGTAAGACTCAATCAGTCTTATATAAACTTTTTTCCAAAAAAAGAAAAAAACTTTTGTTGAAAACTTATAAATATGGTGGGAATTTAGATGTTATTGCATTATACTAGTGATCAATTTGTTATATGGTTGAATGAATCCATTCTATTTTACAGGAAATCTCGGGGCGAATCCGAGGCGATTTGATTTTTTTTCTAACAATTACTTCTATCAACCATTGAATTATATGAGATTTTTTCATCAACAAGCTAATGCACGGTATATTGCTTTTCATTTCTTTCAATTCTAATTTCATATCTTTCTTTATGTACAAATTTATAAATCTTGTTGAAATTTTAAGATTTTATTCTTTTTTTTTAATTTAATTTTTTTTGAAAGATTTAAAATTTTCTTGAAATTAAATTTTTTTTAAATTTTGAATTCTTTACAGTATGATATAGATGAAAAGGAAAGAAATATAAATTAATGCTTGTTTGTATCATTACAATATTATCTGTTATATTATTCAATATTAATATTAGCTATTGAAAATTTCTTTGATCAAACATAAATCAAGCAATCATTGATTAGCTATTAAAAACTTAGCTCGGCTATTGACTATTGATTAACACTAAAATAATCTCGAAATTTTAAATGTAAAAATTTTAGATATTTGGATGAACTTCTGATGGAATTACAAGAATTGAATGAAATTAAAGTGAAATATCCTGGATTACTAGTGCATTCACATATTATTCTTGCTGCCGAATTTAATAGAGTATGGAATATACTATACAACAAGCAGTTCGATGAAAATGTTTGCTTATAAAACTTTTTTTTTTTCTTTTTATCAAAATAAATGGAATAAGTTATTGTTAATTTAATTATTATTTCATTTGTTTTAAATTTGTTTCTTTCGTAAACGATTTCTTTTTCCGCCTCTCCTTATCAAAACTCAATTGATTTTACTACTATCAATTACGTTAAATTAGATTTCAATTTAAATTAGCGTAAGATATGTATTAATTGAAATTCAAACATAAAAAAAAAAAAAAAACCACAGTGTTATATAAGCAGGCAGCCAATAAAAAATAATCGCTCATTTTAATCTAATTTAACTACTTTTTTAACTATGGATAAACATTAGCGTAGATTTTACTAACTTTATTGATATAAACTAAAATAAATTATAGCAATTTTGATTAAACGTGAAAATTATATTATAAAATTTCAATTTGGCTATAAATTAACAAACAAATCATTATAAAATATTTGTCAGATATTGGAATCAGCAATATTGGACGAATCTAATAATGTAACACTGCAAGAAAAGATTGCATTATCAAATGAGCAAATCGCTAATTACACAGGAAATGCAAACAAATTGCATCATGCATCACTGAAACAATTAGAAAATGAAACAAACTGTCAAATTTTGATACGTGGAAAAGGATCATTGTTGGTAAGTAATAACTGATAGTTATTAATTAATTTCACAAAATTTCATTAAAATCTCTCTTTTTTTTTAAAATATCAAAATAATAGTAAATAGGGAATGAACGAGAAATTTTTTATCAGTTGTTCATTTTTTCTTTGTTTAAGAAGAATAATTGATGATTGTAATTAGTTGTTCTTATTTAATCCAAATATTATTATAATATTCATCAAAATTTATTTGAATATTATTTGAAATCTAATAATTTGATTAAACTCAATAATAGTAACATACATAATTAAAAACAGCGTTAAAAAATTAATTGATATTTTAGGATGACCGTCTAGAAACTCGTTTGAAGAATTATGCAGGTTGGGAGCATTTATCAGAACCACTTCATCTACTAGTACGCGCAAATGATTCAACCATTACACTGTGCGCCATGAAGCTTGCAAATGGCGTGCAACATATAAAGCAATATCTTAACGAGGAAGTAAATCGATAATTATTAACTACAATAAAATAAAAATAAAAATTGCTATTCTCATTTCTTTTGTACTATCAAATTTGCTAAATAAATTTACACAAATTAAGAAATATTTTCATTTAATGTGCAACCAATTCCAAATTTATGTTGTAATTTGATAAAAATTTCATCTAGAATATGTCAAAACTTTAAATAATAAGTGATAATAATGAAAATCACAGCGAATAAATATCAATAAAAGATTTCATCATGTTGATCAATAAACATGTTGATCATTGAAAAATGAACTGATAAGAATGTATTAGCTCGCTTACCAGGAGAAATAAGAAATTGTTGAGCTTCAATTTTTTATTCAAAAATGAATCGTAAATTTATGAAATTTATTAACTGATTAAGTAAACTGATAAGTATAAAGCTCATTTATTGCATATGACAGGGTAATAATTATTTCAATTTATCACAATTTATCATTTAAGATTGAGATGAAATTCTGACATACTATTTCAAATTATACTTAATTCGATTATTATTTAAAATTTGCATTATTTGGTTTGTTTTACTTGTTTACTAGTGTATCGTTCTATTGCAGTATCACGTCGATGCTTTTCCGATTGAACACTTACATTCAAAGTAATTGATAGTACCATTAATATTATAAGTAAAAATGCACCGTATCTGAAAATTTTTTAAAAAATAAACAATTTAAAATTCAAGCACATCGTTATCAAATATTTTCAAATAGCATCAATAAAGTGTATTCAAATATTAAAAAATTGTATTTATAATAATCCTAAAAAAAAAATAAATAAACAAAATTACTAGGAAAAACGATATTTTATCTAAATAAAATCTTAATTTTTACAACTTAATTATAATTGTAAAGAATTTTATTGATTAATTTAAAGTTTTAAGAAAAAATTGAATTATATATAACCTGATACCAAAATTAACATATTCAACAATTTCCTGGCGTTGTTTGCCTTTATTAACAACAAGGCTAAATGTTCTCAAGACGTCACCATCGTATGCTCGGTGACAACTGCAAAAAATTAAATAAACAAATAAGAATTAGGATTCTCCTTGTAAAATGAAACATATAGGATTATTTTTTTTTTGTGCAAAAATTATTTGATTAATGAAGTTTTAAGTAATTTGTGAACTAATTAATTATATTCGCAATAATACTTAAAATTCTGGATAATCAAAAAATATGAGTTTAATGTAACAATAATTAGATTCGTTTTTTTTTTTTATTTTTATCAAATTTTATTATAACCTAAAGAAACTTTCATCATCATCCAATGTAAGATAATTTATGATAAGCTGATTATCACCATCGATGTAAATTCTCTTATCAGGATATTGTGCTAGCAGTGAAACAGATGAAATATATGTTTCATTTAATGCCCAAAAAGTGCCAAATTCTTTTTGTGGACAAGATAAAATATAAGGATCATTTTCAAAAGCCTGAAAAAAATATTTTTAGAAAAAATGCATTAATCAGTGGATCTACTTGTAAACTCTGAATTATCATTATGACAATTTCAACTATATTTTAATAAAAAATGCAAAATTTATTTTAATTTAATAACTTTTAATGTCTTCTTAAATTTCAAGAATTCAAACTGTTTTAACATTCAGAATGTTTTTATTTTAATGCTAAAATTTGTTTTTTTTTTGTTTTTTTTTTTTTAAATTTCTTTTTTATAAGCTTTATTTATCTATAATTATATTGTATTTAATAAAAGCTTAAATTAAAACTAAAATTTAAATTGAAATTTTGAGATTAATTTTTTATCAATTGTGATTAATTTATCAATTTTTTTTGCTATATAACCTGTATCACTTCTCGTTTTACTGCTTTCCGAAGTGGCGGTAATCGTTCATTCATTTGATATTCACCTGGTGGAATTTTATCAATGATAATATTTCGACCAAATTCATTTTTACTCATAATTAAACGTGTTTGTTCAATTTTTGCTTTTGTACATGGTACCTGAGATGCACTTTTTATAAATTTTTTATACTAAATATTAAAAAAAAAAAAAAAATGTTTCAAAAAGGAAAAAATAATTATTTGCTTTGTTCACATCAATTATTAATAATCCATTCATTATAACATCAAATCTATCATTTGCTAACATTTACTATTTTAATTTAATTAATTTTGCATCAAAAAAAAAAAAGATTAATTTTTCTTACATAACAATTTTCAACATGAACAATATCCTGAATTGGCCATAAAATATTCCTTAATTCAATTGGTACCAATGAGCTACGACATGGAATATCATAAAATAGTTGCATATATGAGATTGTAGAATTTGAAATTGTATCATAAGATATACCGGGTGCAATCTAAATTTCTTTCACAAAAAAAAAAAAAAAAAACACAAATTAAAATATAATTTTAATTTTTTAAAAAAAATGAAATTAAATCAAACAATTTTAATTAATTTTCTAATATAAATTATAATTGATACCGATAAATGACAAACAATTTTACGTCGTTTTTCACCATTTTTTGTATTACAATTACTACATTCACTCCATGATGTCGCAAATGCATTTGATTGTAATTTAAAATTTACAAATTGATGTTGCATAGTTTGCATTTCACTTTTTACAGATTTATTTATTATCTAAAAATGAAAATACATAATCGATGAATTAATAATTAATGCTATAAGTTATTGAATTCATTGTTAAATAAAATTGATTGAAAATGATTTAAATTTATAGATATAAATAAGAAATAAATCGAATTTTAAACATAAAATAATTAATGCTAAATTAATTAATTAATTAATGATTGTAGGCTAACAATTTTTGGAGTTGAATTAGTGATCACATCAATGTAATAAATATTTGCTATATTTGCTATACCATTTATACGTCTTATACATCGATACCAACCCATATCTTTTCGGCTTATTTTTGATAAAATAAGTTCGAAATGATCACCAAGTTTTGGTCCAATTTTTTGACGTTGCATAAATCTAAGTTTATGAAAATTTATTTTGCAATAATTACACAAAAATTACACAAATTTATTGCAAAATAAATTTTAGCTAATCTTCTATGAAATATTATTCACATGAATTAAATTCTTTATTTACATATTTTTGAAGTCAAAAAATTTAAATTTACGTTTAAAGTTTTGCTAATTTCAAATTCGAAAAGTATTAAATACAAAAAAATGATAATATCATAATATTTAAGGCCATACCTTTAATAGGTCTCTCCTATATTGCAACCTAAGGCTAAACACTAGCAAGTTAGCAAATCCAAAATGCTAAATTATTAAATCAAAATATAAATCTAATAAATATTTAAGCTTAGATTTTAAATTAATAAAAATAAAGCTTTTTTTAAATCTTTAAATTTAAGGCATATATTTAAGCCTAAATTTTGACCATACAATTTTTAATAATGTTTACATCTTTTTTTTTAAAAAAAAATTATTAGCAAATAATTGATGAAAATACTTTTTAATAAGACTTATGGTTTTTTCAGCTATAGAAAGACTTGGATCAATATCAACAATACTTTGCCAACCCTTTGTACCATCCTCAAAATTAGCTTTTTCCCAATGATAATCCCATTCATTCGTTCTTGTCTTACCTTTATACTCAACTTGTGACAAAATAAACTGCAAAAAATTTTTTAGCTTTTTAACATTTTTTTGCATTTTAATAAAAATTTAAAAGCATTTTCTCATACAAAAAAGAAAAAGGAAGAAAGTTTTTTTTTTTTCGTAAAAAAATCAATAAATTATAGTTTATAATTTACAACCTCTTTTACTTTATCAATAATTTGACGAATTTTTTTGCCTATAAATGATTCATTTGGTTTCCAAACTTCTTCCACTTCAGTTTGTTCTTCTGGACTTAAACTGCAATGAAAATAAACAATAATATTATTTTGCATATTTTATAGCAATAATAGAATAAAGTTTCCCCCCCCTCCAAAAAAAAAAAAAAAAAAAAAAAAAAGCTTTATTCTAAGCTTTCACATTTTAATGTGATAAATTAATTATTCATAACAGTGTTAATCTGAATAAAAAGAAATTAAAGCTGATAAAGTATCTATAAGACATATATTAAAACTATGAGAAATAACTTTTACTTATAATTACTTTTACTTACAACTTTTAAATTTTACTTATTAATATTACTTTAGTAACTTTTACTTACAATTAACATTACTTTAGCTATTAATCCAAAACAATAATTAACAGTCAAGTAATTACCATCTGAAACATTGCAATTCCAATTCAGCATCTCGTAATGCGACAATTGCTTGAATTGGTGTCACCTTTTTTTTAACATATTTCTCGCGTTCCTTCATGCATCGATAATAGCTATTCAATTTACGATTATAATCTTCTTTTTGCTCATCGCTTAATTCTAATCCTTCAATTATTCTATAAAATTATAAGTTCGATAAAAAATTTTACAATTTTTATTTTAAAATAAATTAGCAAATAATCTTACAATGAAAATTAATTTTGAAATATTTACAAATACTAATATTGATGATGTGCAAAATTAATGTTAATATTAATGTTAATATTGATATAATATTATATTATTTAATTTTTAACGAATTTTGATAAACATTTAGTATTATAAATAAATATCTAATATATAGTATTACAAATAAATATCTAATAGTTAATTTAACATAAGAATTTATTCGCTTTATTTCATTCAAAAAATTATTGATTATAACAATTACATAATTGTAATTGAAATTTTCACTGTAATTTCTTCAAGAAATGGAATTTATGTAAAAAATAAAATTTTGTTTAATATCTCAAATATTTAATGCTTCAAATCTAATATTTTTAGTAGATGTTTTAATATAACATAAGCTTTTTTATTACTATGACAAAATTGAGATTTCTTTAACAAACAAACAAATTCCATCAATTTTTATTTCAGTAAAATAGTATCTGTAGATAATGTAAAATTTTTTTGAAAACTAGCAAAAAATCAAAAACATAGGAGGAAAAATTGTAGATGGCTCACCTGAATGGTTTTATAATAATTATGATTGCTAGCTTTATTTTATTAATGATTTTCTTATTTCATTGAATCATTTAAATAAATCAGTTCAATCAATCAGCTCAATAAATCAGTTATCAGCTCAATAAATTATGAGCATATTGAAAAACATTTATAGCACTCATAAATTCAAAAAACTTGTTTAATCAATAATTTTACCGTGAAAAACAAAGGAAAATTGTAAAAACGACCGAATGGTAAGCAGTTTTCATCCCGAAGTGGAAGATAGCTTTTTTTTTTTTAATTTTTGTAAAAAATGATTAATGCAAGACTAAAATTCAATTATTGTGTAAGAAACATTAGAAAAACGATTAGCTGTTATATTATATTACATGCAATGAATTTAAACAATAAAATTTGAAGGTTAATTTTTTTGTCAAAAAAAATTAATTTTAACAATACAAACAATCCTTTATTCATTATTTTATAATTATATATATATATGTACCTTTTTAGAATATGCTAAAAGTTGAACTGCTTTGTTATATTGCTGATTATTTTTGAAAAATTCCGCAGCTCGTTCAAGTATTCGTGGATCCGAATTTTCATCTAGCTCATTAGTGATCAAATCTAATGCACTAAATTGATCAGTACGAAATGCCAGATCAAGTGCCCGACTAATCATACCTGCCTAAAAGAGAAAAATATGCATGACCTTTCGCATGACCTTTTGTTTTTCGCATTTTTTTCTAAATATTTTATAATAATAAAGAAAATTAGATTAGTTGTATAAGCAGATTGAAGGAATTAAAGTGCTAATTGTTAGTTTTTAAAATCAAATTAAAATTTTGCTTTTTTTTCAAAAAATTATTTATCTAATTTTATTTAATAATTCACCTTATGATATAACATGACAGCTTTATCAGTTTGTCCAGGTATATTTTCATAGTATTGTGCTGCTTCAACTAATTCATTTCCACCAGCCATTAAAGCTAGATTAGCAATTTTATCCGTCATATTATTTTCCTGCACAATATTATATAGGAATTAATTACCTTTTTTTTTATCTAATTTGAATTTAATTTAATTTAACAAAAAATTCCTTTTTATTGATAAATGCATTAGAAAAACAGTTGAAATATACACAAATCAATCAGATTGATTGTTAATGCTAATTTACTTCAATTATTACTTAACTTTATTTAAAACTTACTTAGCTTTAAGAAAAAAATATTTTAAATTTAGTTTTGAATTAATTTTGAACAATTTAGTTGAGAAAAAATAAATGTCTAAATTAAAGTAAACTGGGACATTCATTTGAGTAAAATCAAAAAATATAATCTATCATAATTCACTTATCACTCATAAATGTAATTATTATTCAATTTCAAATATCTGTATTAGTTACAAATTTTTATTGAATATTTTGAGAAATGAATGAATTATTACATTCTATTCTAGGTTTTATGAAATAAGTCTACGTGATTTATTTCATTCAAATATTAAGCATTGGCGTCCAAATGCTGAAATGTTGTCAACTACAACCGGGAAGCATTATACAGCTGAAATGCAAATGCTTATTCATGATCAAGCAAAAGCTGCATGGCATATTACATTAGTTATGTCGCAGGTCTGATACAATTTTTCAAATTATATAAAAGAAAAAAATTAGAATGAACAATTTCTGATAAAGCCATTTTTCTTTTTTTCAAAAAAAAAAAAACAAAATCATAAATTTTCAAGTAATATCGATCATTTGGCTTTTTGGATAATTTCAGTTTAATATTCATTTTGTTCATTTGTTTAGTAAATAAATTTAGATGTTTCTTTCTTGGTTTTAATAAAATTTTTAGCTTGATATTCATTTCCTTAATTTGTTTGGCAAGTAATATGTATAAATAATTTTATATATGTATAAAGTATATGTATAAATAAATTTGTTTAGGTTATTTAGATTAATTTAGATATTTCTCTTTTTTTTCTCAAATGATTGAATAATTTTAAGTATTTCATTTTTAGTTTTTTTTCATCCTTTTTAGGTGTTTCATTTTTGGCTTTGCACAACGAGAAGAATTTCCGTTTTCAAACATGGCACGCAAAATATTGCAGCAGTTCTTGCACTACTTATTGAAATTTTCATTCTCAATTTTATGATTTATATGCCAGGTGTGCAACATTGGCTTAGTGTTACTCATCCACCAGCATTTGTTTGGCTATTTTGTTTACCTGTTGGTATTATTCTTATTATTTTCAATGAGGTTATTTTTTCGTTCTATTTCTTTTCCTCATTATTTTCAAAAAAAAAAAACTTTTTTTCTTAAATTATTTAATACATTATTTTTTCTTAAACAATTTTGTATTATTGAATCTTTCTTCTTTTCTTTCATGCACAAAAATTTATTTCATGTAAAATTGATGATAAATAAACAAATACAAATAGAAAATGAAATATTTCTTTGATAAACGAATACTCAGTAATGTTGCAATAGATAACATTACCGTTATTTTGATATGACATTATTTAAGGAAAACTACTACTTCCGTGGAAAAAATTTTTTCATTTTGATAAAAGAAAAAAAAAGAAGAAAAGGAAAACGATGTCATGATAAAGTTAGGTGAGGGAAAAGAATGAAAGACGTAAAATTATATTCAAAATTTATCTGATATTACTACATTTATTTTTCATATATGCATAGATAGAACGAAATTGTATTATTATCAAAGATTTCAAAAATATAAATATTTTCAGACTCGGAAATGGCTCATTAGACGCTATCCAACCAGTAATATTATACGAGCATTAAAATGGTAGATGGTTTAATTTATTCAAATCCATTATATAATAATAGTGCCACTTTATCATTTATACATCGTGGCATAGTCTTTTTTCTTCCTTTCTTAATGGATTGTAGTATAAAAATAGTTGCGACATATTTGATATGTAAATGTTATTTGTCTTTGATACAGTATTTCTCTACTACTTTAATTTTTGCATTTGAATAATTTCAAATTGTAATAATTTTATAAATAATTTCAAATTGTAATAATTTCATAAATAATTTCAAATTGTAATAATTTTAAACCTCGAGCACAAAATATTTATGAAATGTGATGACATCACTATTTTTATTTTACTTTTTTTTGGTTCCTTGTAATTAACAACAGATACATTTGGAGATTATTTTGATATTGTCGACATGTTTTGGAATTTGCAATTGTAATTTCTAAACTTTTTTTACTCATTCTCCAAAGCAAAAAAAAAAAGAATGAATTTTCAATGAATAATTTGATGAATGGCAAAGCTTTAAGGAATGAAATATTTAACAGGATACAGTGTTGAAAAACAGTCCAGATTTCTCCTAAAAACAGCCCAGAATTCTAGAGACAATTTAGAATTCTATACTAAACAGAAATATGGAATTCTATGGATCGATCATTCAGAATTCTATTATAGTACAGAATACATAATTTCAAAATTATACATTAAAGAGTCTCTAGAGCGTTAGAAACAATAACAACCACTTGCACTTCGATTGCATCCCGTTACAAGCCACATCACAAACCAGGCCAGTAACGGTGCAGACCAGATCCAGGCTCAATCCAATTTTAATCTCGTCTCAACCTAATTTTATAAAATCATGGGCTTCTTGCTCCTCGCAACGAAATTCTTTTATAATTATAACAAAAGCTTATAAAGTGGTCAACTACATTACAAAAACTGCCCTAAACTTGTTTCACATTTTGCTCGATATTAATTTGGACACGGTCTTCCTTCATGATATGCCAATATGATAATAAAATTTAATCAGCACTTATGTTTTTACCACAGATCATCATGGTTTTCCTTAAAAACTTACCTTTTGTGATAAATTTTTCCCTTACATACCTCATACACTTCAGATCAGATCAATATTTCCATTTGATTATTGGATAATAAAATAGATCCGTCTAGCATTACCAGTTTCAGGTCTCACTTTATCATGACATGTTCTTGATGGTGCCACAAATTCGTCATGATTTTACAAGCCTTCGTCAAACGAGTTGCATAATAGTGAATTTTGAACAGCTCAATTATAATGGAAATCAAATTCATCTACCACCGAAATCAGAACTACAAATATCTCGGAGAAAGCCAAATATTCACAAGATATTGTGTCTGATAAGGAATTGATTGGTCACGAATGCCTGGTACCTTAGGTGTAAATTAGGAAATTGATTATCCTGTATTCACCCTAACTCCACTCATTCCTCCACCCAATAAAAAACAAAAAACCAACACTAGCCCAAGGACTAAATGAATATAACGAAAAAAAAAATATATATATAATTGAATGAAGGCAGTAGATGACTTGCTGTGAAAGAAAATGAATGCCCAACTTGTAAGGAAGGGAAGTAATATCCAACTTGTAAGGAAGGGAAATAATACCCAACTTGTAAGGAGGGGAAGTAATATCCAACATGTAAGGAAGGAAAGTAATACTCAACTTGTAAGGAAAGGAAGTAATACCCAACTTGTAAGGAAGGGAAGTAATACCCAACTTGTAAGGAGGGGAAGTAATATCCAACTTGTAAGGAGGGGAAGTAATATCCAACTTGTAAGGAGGGGAAGTAATACCCAACTTGTAAGGAGGGGAAGTAATACCCAACTTGCGTCTCAAATAGTAATATGAAGATATGCACATGCTCCAAGCACTCTTTGAGACTATCAGAAATGCTCTAATGCGACCGGTCATACGTGCAGTTTTGCATTTTTTCTTTGTTTTGTGGCGATAAGGAGGGGAAGTAATACCCAACTCCTTTGATCTTTTTTCCTTTAATCTTTTTCTTTTTTCATCTTTTCATTTTTGGTTTTAGTAAGCGAACGAGTAGGGCGCATTTGTCCTTTTTAGAGAGTAGGGGTTGGGCGTGATAATTAGCGCATTTATGATTTGTTAATCTAACTATTTAGAATGAGAATTAGATGTTTTGATGGATTCTTTCACTTTCTCCGCTGAATTGTTTACTCACTTTTTTTTCTTTTGTGATATTTTCTAGGAATTAATTAATCAAAAATTCTTTAGGAATTCAGTGGAATTAATTGAATTGTTGGATTACTTATTGGTTTCGTTATTTCTTTTAAATTTATATTGCATGTTCAGCTTAATAATATTCTAAATGTATTTCAGGTATAAATGTATCTGACTGCTCTCACATTCTTCCATTTCCATTCCTCTTAAATTTCAAGTTTTAAATTAATTAAAGTCTGCTTTGAATAAGTTCTTTTAATCCAACATTGCTATAGCTTTGCATATATATATTTAATTTTTTTTCTCAGTTGAATTATCGTACCTTAAATAATCTAACCTATTGTAAGAAAGTTTTCCAGAAGACTCCATGAAAAGGGATACAGATGAATATCGACCGCCATTTCCCTCTGATAAAAGTCGATTGGTAACCAAAACTAAATGAAATACAAAAGTTTTATTTTAAACTGAAAAACAATGATATTACACTGTTAAAATGCATAAAATTAATCAAATGATTTTTTTTTTTTTTTTTTGTGAGCAAAAATTACGAAAGCACCACGAAATGTAATTTTATAATTTTTATACGATGAAACTACTGTCATATGTTTCTCTTTTTGATTAAGTGGTGCATTGATTATAGTTCAATTTGCTATCGGTTAGCCTCATCAGGTAAAAGAATATTTTATGAAATACATAGTATGCATTAATAAAAATTTTAAAATCTGGAGGAACCAACTTTTAATAGCGTCACATCCTTCTGTATTAGTAACCGAATAATATTGGTGCTCAAATCTGAAACTGAGTATTTAAATTAAAAAAAAATACTCTTAAGGGAAATATATTATCTATTCAAATTTGAAAAAAAAGAGAATGAACTAATGTGGATTGCTTGAAATGAGTCATCAATCCTCATAAAATATATATTTTTTAATTTTCATAAAAAGAAGATATGAGCAAAGTACCTTTTTTAATTGAAGTTTTAAATCCATACAGTTGTATAATAGCATTTAATGCAATAGTACGGAAAATATTACAATCTTTCACGACGAGAAAATAGCAGGGAGCTAAAATTCCCGAAATATAATAGTCCCGATATATAACTTGGTAATATTTGTCATGATACATAGGATATGTATCGAATAGTACTGAATGAGTAGAAAGTATGATAGGGCGCACTTATCCTTTTATGAATGAGTAGAACATAAGACAAGTAATAATAATGATAAGACTAGAATGAATAAATAACATCGATTAGCAGAATTACAGTAATATTATCTCATAATATTTGAAGTAGTCTTCTCTCTAATACTGCGCCATTTTACTTCTAGAAAATAAGCATAGGGCACAGTTATTCTTCCATCTCACCAAAACTGCACGTACCATTCGCATTGAAGCATTCCTAAGGACACTCAAAAAGTAGTCTGAGTGTGCGGAGAATGTGAAAATGGGAATTATCTGCGCACAGCTTAATATTACCGATTGAGATGCAAAACAAATATTAGTTCTTGGTGCAGTTCTCTTGATGAACAATAAAATGATTAAAAGTACTCGGAGATCTCTCCCTGTCCTCTGCAAGTCGGGCAATCACTTCTTTTCATAGTATTTATTCTTTTTAACAAGCAAAATGATAGGGCGCACTTATCCTTTTATTCAGCAAAACTGCACGTATGATCGATCGCATTAGAGCAGTTCTGATAGTCTCAAAAAGTGTTGTTGGGAGCATGTACATATCTTCATATAACTATTTGAGACGCAAGTTGGGTATTACTTCCCTTCCTTCCAAGTTGGGTATTTGTTTTCCTTCACAGCAAGTCAAGTACTGCCTTCATTCAATTATATATATATATACTTTCGTTATATTCATTTCTTTTTTCATCTTTTCATTTTTGCTTTTAGCAAGCAAACGAGTAGGGCGCATTTGTCCGAGAGTAGGGGTTGGGCGTGATAATTATCGCATTTATGATTTGTTAATCTAACTGTTTAGAATGAGAATTAGATGTTTTGATGGAAAGAACTCAAAACTTGGTTTGAAATGTTTGTTGTTCTTCAAAAAAAAAAATTATGTCGTTCTTATTGACTACGTAGTTTTTATCCCAAGTCTATATCATTAATTAAGTTCATTAATAATGCATAATTGTTAGGCAAAATTAGGAATATTAACCAGGTTTAATTCACTGCAAAACTATAAACGCTGACTTTTGTCATATTACTGACCACTGAAAGATTGTAACGGTTTGTTTTTATTGTTTTCTTTTTCATCTGTATTTGCTTCATGTAATGTTACTTAATTTTTCTAAAATTTTCTTGCAATTAATTATGAAATAAATCTAAAGAGACGCTTCGTCTACACAACTAACAAATGATCTTTGGGATGATACTTGGATTGGTTTCAGATTTCAGAAAGAACATCAGTATAATAAATTAAGTGGAGTAGTGCTGCTATATTAACAAAAATTTATTCTAAAATTTCATGCATGTTGGACGCTATCTAAGAGATTTTGATTGCTTCAGAAATATGATATAAATAGGGACTTCAATAAATAGAGTGTCCATTTTTAAAATTGCCGGGAAGTACATTTGCATTGTGTTGTTTTCAAATTCAGCAAACAGTTAGTGAGAGAGATCGGGAGTGAGGTTACAAATGTCTTTAAGCATTGAAGAAATCTTCTCTTTATTTTTTTAAAAGTTTAAACACTTCCCAAAGTTTCAGATGAAATTACTGGTTCGATAACTCATTCTGGCCTGTTAGAATCACTCATTACACATTGGTACTTAATTGAAATTGAAATTTGTGATTGAGTCCCAGCAGCAAGTCGGAAGATTATCATCTGGTAAATTAGGGCAATAAAAAGCAAATAAAAATATGTTCAATCTGATTCAGATCCACTTGCTTATAATAAATGAGGATGGTGCATATAACTAATTAATGAAGCGTTTGGAGAGTTTATATATTGTGCATGGTTAGTCTGTCTATTCATTGCTATTAAAATTTCAGGTTACTGATTTGCTTTGACTTTTGGTTTGTTTTGAAGCTAAATTTGTTTTCAAGAGGCATTAATCGTTCTTTAATATTTGAAAGAAGTTGGTTTAAGTATTTTAAAATTGCCAGTGATCAATTTTGAAATGCTAGTAAGTTCAAAGTAAAAAATTAGGGAATTAAAATTTGAGAAAAATTTTTCCAACAAAACAAAAAAAAGAATGTAATAAAAGCATGATTTAAATTGAGTTATGAAATACTTATGAACAATCCTTAACTCTATTCAAGATCCTAATTCTAATATATTATTCCCAAAAATGAATAATAAGTAATAAATTTTAATTTTAATTTTTCAGTTATTTTTACTTTTACAATTATTCTTACTTTTACAACTACTTTTATTCCTACAATTATTTTTACTTTTACTATTGTTTTGACACATTTATAATTTGCTAAATCTGACAGAGAAGTCGAAATGTGAATTAAAATTTAATTTAACAAAAAAATTTTTACAAATTTATCCATTTGATTTTAATACTAATTAAAAGTATGGGATTATCGTGACAGAAATACGAAAAATAATATGTTTGGTATTCTATTGAAAATTTCGCTTCATTGCATAGCTATAATCCACTTCTTCATCATTAGTAGATTGTTGATCATTATCACATTCTGACAGATTTTTGTTATCAGTGATAAAAGATGATAACTTCAATTTTTCACAAATGATATCTTGTATTTCCTTGTTGACATAGCGATTTAGCTCGATGCTTGGTTCACGATCCTTCAATTGCTGTACTAGTGAATATGCCTAAAAGTTTTCAAAATTCCATAAATTGTTCTCTCTTTTTTTTCAATTAATTAAATTCAAAAAAAAAAAAAAAAAACAAATGTTTGTCTAATTTTTTTTTTCTTTTGAAATTCTAAATATGAACTTTTTTGTAGTTTTCCTTGTGAACATTATATGCAATCATCACAGCATAGATGTCACCAAGTCGTATATTCTTACAAACTTGTTTATCATCTGCAAATGCTTCTAACTGTCGAATTGCATCAATTGGATCCAATTCATAAATACTGAAAAAGTAAATTTTTTATTATTTCGTAAGCAAAATTAAAAACAAAAAAAAAAAAAGAAATTAAACTCGATTTTTTAAATGATTTTGAAAAAAAAAATTTTAAATTTTTTTACGTTCTAATTTGAATGAATTCTTTAATATTCCCAATAGTTTGATATAATTCAGTTTGCTTTTCCATTAAATATTCCTGATTTTTAGGATTATTTTGTAATGCTTTTGCAATACACTGCAATGCTTCATTAAGTGCATCAGCTGCTTTATTATAATCACGATAATCATCAATTTCAACCTGAAATTAAAGCTAATTCATTTTTCCGTTAAATATTCCTTATAATTTCAGAAGTATGTGGTGAATTAAAAATAAGTAATGCATTTTTGTAATAAAATTATATTAAATAAAATTAATAAACTAAAAATAATTAATAGTAATATTATCTTAATACAGTCAAAACCAATAATCATACCTAAAATAAAAGAAAAAAAAAACATAACAATTTTCCAAAATTCTAAAATTTTTAATAATAAAAAAAAACTCAGATATATTTATTTTATTGTATTTTTTTAGTAAGATTAACTTTACATATATATATTTTCGTTGGTAATTTTGGTCTAATTAATTTCAGCGATAACATTTCAAATACTGTCATCATATTACTCTTATTGTTTTTAAATTAAACTTATAAATCAAATTTCTCAAATATTTGTTATCATTATATTCGCAATATTTTCTTACTTTAATTTCTAATCAATGTGATTTTCATACTTCGACCAATTTTTGTTTTATCATAAAAAATTTTCTATTCATTGTCTCAAACAACAACAACAAAAAAAAAAGCTTAGTCTTAAAAAGAAATTTGTTAATTTAGAGTAAGTAATTCTAAATTTTCTTCATATGCAATAATTCAAGCTAAATTTAAGGAACACATAAATAGGCAAATAAATAAATAAATACCTGAGCACATGCTTCATAGAAGCTTGCTAAATGTTCATATGCATTAGCTTTATTGTAAAATAATTCAATTTGTTTCATTAAATCACAATCTTCTTTCCAATTCAATGTTTGCAAATAATTTGCTGCTAAAATATAAATTTCCTTTTTTCTTGCAGCATTTGCAAAAAATACAATTCTTGCAGTGTCGCCTGATTTCACTAATGATCGCATAGCCTATAAAATACAATTTATGAAATAATTTGAGCTCATTTAATACAAGTTAAAAAGTTATTTAATCTGTTTTTTTTTTAGTTTATTAATAGCTAGAATTAAATTTTCTTATTAGCTTATTAACTAGAACTAAACTTTTTATTTTAAATATTTTACTAAAATTCAAAGAAATTTCAATAAATTTAAAATTAACTTTCTTCTATAAATATGCTGTAACATTAGACAAAATTTATATCGTTGTTTTGAATTACAGAAAATTTTGCTATCAAATGGTACATACTATATAGAATGGACTCGAAATGATACTAATAAAAATATATATTGCGATAATATAATGTCAATTACATTTATTTCATTCTTTTCTAAATAAATTAAAAAAAATTCACATCTAATTTATTTCCAGCTTGAGTGTATTTTTTTGCTGCAAAATGATAATTTTGTTGTTGTACGCAACATTCTGCTATTAATTCGAGAAGTTTTTTCCGATTAGATTCATCCGTTATTTCACCTAAATTATATTAATTAATTAAAAATAGAACAATTTTTTTTCTTTTGTGTCTGAATTAATTTATACTAAATAATGTTTCTTTCAATTTTAAAATTTCAATAAATTATCTAAAATTAATTAGTAGCTCAATTAAATTCTTCATAATTAGCCGATGATTACAATTACTATTAGATTAGAATTAATTATGATTCAATCAAATTATTCTAGTTTTAAAATTTCAAAGCTCATTACAGAATTTAATTTAATTACCTGAAATCAATTAGCACCACAATTAAATTCTTCATAATTAGACAAGGACTACAATTAAATAATTATAATTAAATTAAATTATTACCTTTCGAAGGTGTCAATACTTCGGCTAATTCTTCATTCATTGGAACATTTTTTTGTTTGCATAAATCAATTGCTTCGAAATACTAACAAAATGATTGATTTTTTTCTTTTTTTTTAGGAAACTGAATTAATTTATTAGCATTTCAAAAAGAAAAAACAAATTAAATAATTTTACGAAATTAAAAAATTTTTATTAATTATATATATATAACTAATATCAACTTATATATATGTACCTTTTTAGAATATGCTAAAAGTTGAACTGCTTTGTTATATTGCTGATTATTTTTGAAAAATTCCGCAGCTCGTTCAAGTATTCGTGGATCCGAATTTTCATCTAGCTCATTAGTGATCAAATCTAATGCACTAAATTGATCAGTACGAAATGCCAGATCAAGTGCTCGACTAATCATACCTGCCTAAAAGAGAAAAATATGCATGACCTTTCGCATGACCTTTTGTTTTTCGCATTTTTTTCTAAATATTTTATAATAATAAAGAAAATTAGATTAGTTGTATAAGCAGATTGAAGGAATTAAAGTGCTAATTGTTAGTTTTTAAAATCAAATTAAAATTTTGCTTTTTTTTCAGAAAATTATTTATCTAATTTTATTTAATAATTTACCTTATGATATAACATGACAGCTATATCAGTTTGTCCAGGTATATTTTCATAGTATTGCGCTGCTTCAACTAATTCATTTCCACCAGCCATTAAAGCTAGATTAGCAATTTTATCCGTCATATTATTTTCCTGCACAATATTATATAGGAATTAATTACCTTTTTTTTGTCTAATTTTGACTAAATTAAATTACTCAATTAAAATTGTTAAATTAAAAAAAAAAAAAAACAGATAAAACACAAATAGATTTGAGTTAAATTTATTAAAATTTTTATACCTTGCAGATAGATCATAAATACGTATAAATCCATTAGTACTAGCAATACATATCCAATTATTATTAATATCAATCATTATTGGATTACCTTCTATTTCGGGCAACGGTATTACCTGTTTAACAGTACCCTAAAATTTTAATATATAATATTTTTTAGAATTTATCAATATTTTCTATGATAATATTTAGTGAATATTTTATTCTTTATATGTGTTGCATAAGAATAAATTAAAAATATGTAAGCTTTTAGTGAGTCGCACGAGGCTACCGATTCTTCTCGGTTCCTTGCTGGAAGTGTGTCGTAGACTTCTGACCTTCTTAGAGTTGTGTCGTGCACTTCTGACCTTCCCAGAGTTGTGTCGTGCACTTCTGACCTTCCTAGAGTTGTGTCGTGCACTTCTGACCTTCCCAGAGTTGTATCGTGCACTTCTGACCTTCCTAGAGTTGTGTCGTGCACTTCTGACCTTCCTAGAGTTGTGTCGTGCACTTCTGACCTTCCTAGAGTTGTGTCGTGCACTTCTGACCTTCCTAGAGTTGTGTCGTGCACTTCTGACCTTCCTAGAGTTGTGTCGTGCACTTCTGACCTTCCTAGAGTTGTGTCGTGCACTTCTGACCTTCCTAGAGTTGTGTCGTGCACTTCTGACCTTCCTAGAGTTGTGTCGTGCACTTCTGACCTTCCTAGAGTTATGTCGTGCGCATGTGCTGAAGAACAGTATGGATAGAGGGCGTTATTGTAAAAGTTTACTTAACTTTCCTGAGGTCAAAGTGCTCTTCTATTGATTGGCAGAGATGAATAATTGTGATGTTTCATTAACTGATACCTCTATCAGTGGCATATAATATTGAATAAAGAGTTGATTAACAGGTTGTTGGGTTGGTGTGGGTGGAAGAGCACCGCTCATCGAGTGAACTCGAGAATTTTAAAAGATTGAGTTGATTTACAACATTTTTACAATCATCGATATATTTTTCTATTCTTCTATTATACTTTTTTTTTTTCAGAAACAAAGAACCATTTGAAACGAAGAAATTTATTTACTGAATTTGTAAATGGAAAAAGGATTGCTCAAATAATCTATGGACAAAACAAATATTAGCAACCTTAATTAGTGTTTTATTAAATTTGACTATAACCTAGAGCAAGAAACTTCCAATATTGTAATCATAAGGTTGCATTTTAGGTTATCTTGGAAGCATTTAGGACATACTTTTTTTTTAGGTCAAATAATTATTATATTCCTGATATAATTTAAGAAATTGTGGTATAATTTAGAATTACTAAAAAAAAAAAAGAATTGATAAAAAAAATCGAATGATAAACTTATCACTTTTCTATAAATTTTCATGATAAATAATAACAAATACAGTTATCAATTAAGTAAGAAACAGCAACATTTAAAGTTTATAAGCCTTTAAAAGTTATTTTCGCAATTATCTTTTCAATTGAAAATTTTGAACTTAATGAATTTTTAAATGTTATAGGAAAAGATTTTTTACATGAATACGACATGTAAAAGTTAATAAATATTGCATTTTATATAAACAAGAATATCTGTAATTTGTTTTTCTTATTTTAAATAAACATTCTTGCATTCTGTATTTGCTTTTTCATAAACTTATCACTTTATCACTTTTGTAATTAAAGCAAAAATAGTGATAACGGATACAAAGTAGTTCCAACTATCAAAATTTAATGATTGGAGAGATCAATCAGAAAAGGCAGTTTTAATTTTTATGCAATAATGCAACCTTTTGAGGTTAACAACTTTTACTTAACTGATGATCTTTGTGGCTCATCAGCTAGTAATTAGATTTGTTTGTAGATCAGATCAACAGCTCCTTGTCAGATCAATCTCTTATTATAAATCATACACTTTGCCTATGCATATTGCTTACTATATAAGGAGATCATCCCTCTTGCACTAAACAACTTTCATATTAATTTGGCCACTATTTACTTTTGATAATATTTTCATGCATAACATCCACGAAACTAATATTCAATTTACGACTTATACTGATCACATTTTATCGATATACTTCTGTGTATCTTTTTGACATTTCATAAAAGCTTAAATTTCACTTTCAAATTCAGTTTCTCCGTTCAGCTAATCACCAACAATAATTCATTGCAAATATTTAAAAACTTCCTATTAATTTCTTATTGTACTCAAACATAAAAAATGTGACTATCGTATTATGATTGTCGGAAGAGATATCATGAAAAAAAAAAAAGGAAAAAAGCTAGAATCAGACTCTAAAACGATGAAATTGTAGAGAGAAGATATCTTTGTGAATTCTGGTAATATATGCCCTGCCTAGAAGCTTTCATTTACATTTAGAAAATGTATGAAAAAAAGAAAAATTGCTATTCAGCATTTGTAATTAATTATGTGGATTTTATGATTAAGCTTAAGTATTGCCTTAGCTTTGATATAATGTATGCAAGAAGTACATATACAGTTTACTGACTGACTGAACAATTAAACAACATTGGTATGAAGTACCACATCGAATAACACATTAAAATTCCTATGCATTAATACAGATATTATGATAACAATACTTACAAACAGAATAGGAATTTACTTTCAAATAATTTAATTTACAACATCCATAGATTATCATGTATATATATATATATATAGGAATGACTTCATTATTACAACCCGTGTACCCAAACTTACAACTTGATATCTTTACTTTCATGACATTCTTAATTTCACACCTTAATTTTCCACTTTTTCTAGAAGGCAAATCATTGAATTCATGAAAAAAATGTTTAAACATGCTTTTTAACACATGCAGACTATTCACTTTTCTTTAATTGCCAACACAAACGAACAATAAACATCGTATACTTAGATATATTACATGAGATCACCTTTGCAGAATCAGTACAAAGAGAAACCGCCTTTCATGCACTATTTCTAACCACAAATCCTAGCAAAAAAAAAAAAAAAAAAAAGCTGGAAACACGATTCGAAATTTCTAAGATTATTTCATAATAAATTAAACAATAAACACAATTCAGTTAGGAAGAGACAGTGGGAAATGAAATTTAGGTACGAAAATATTGCAGTCGCTAATATAAGTGCCTCTCAAGAAGATAAACTGCTCACCGAAAGCTTCAGCTAATTCAATGAGTGACGTATGTTTCTCGATGAATTTCAGAAATGTGTCTGCATTTGTAGCATGACTCAGCAATTCCTCCATGAAACCACCATCATTAGCCTGCAGTCATTATGGCTTATTATTTATGTTGCACCATGAGAAAAACTTCCCCCTTCCTATCTGGAGTGTAAAAAGAAATAGCTAATTAGGATTTCTGTTCTCAGATCCAAATTTTGGAGCAATTTATCTCCACATTTTTTACTAGTTCTTGTTTGAAATCTAGGATATAGGTTTTTTTTTTCTACTCAAATAAGTAATGTTAATAAATTTCGACAAGTCAAGGAACGCTTACATTAATCAATTTACGCAATGTATTTACGGTAATGTTTTCCCTGGATTTTTCGTCGATATAACAAAGAAATTTAAGCATCTCAGTACGAAATGTGTAGCTTGTCATCCGAACATGATCATCTAATATTTCGTAGAGATGTGAGCGGACAACGATAAAATCAACCATATAGGAATAATAAGCAAAAGTATCACTAAAAATAACAATCTAAAAATATACAAAAAAAAGTGAAATTAAACTTTAAAAAAAACTCTTTTAGAAAACTTAAACCTCTTTTAGTCCAGACTTTACCATATGTATGAATAAAAATATAGAAGAATCTTCATGTTTCATTTCAAATTATTATAATTTATGTTCGTAGGAGTTAAAGCACTGTACATAAAGTTATGTCTAGCGGAATTACTGGCTAAATAAAAACAAATTCAACCGTAAATCAATGCAAACGTTACCCTTCAATAAGTTTGTTGAATATCTGTCGAAATGTTTTGGCGCCATCACGCAAACATTCATCCACCTCTTGCATTTTTCTTATCTCATCATGAATAACATCATTGTAAAACATCCAATAATTTGAGTTCATCTGCATATATGCCTCAGTATTGGCAGAATTCCTTCTAAATGCTCCAGCTTCTTCTGCTTCACCATTAACCGATTTTACCATAAACTGTGGACTCATACTGCGTTTATCGGACTTTGTTTTCAATGTTCGATTTGGACTACTATTAAATGATTTCATTCCGGTAATTTTTGCATTCCGCTGGTTAGAGTGTCCAATTTTGGTTACTGCAGTTCATAATTACTAATGAACATTGGAAAATCATTCATTGTCGTATATCAATAATAATACAAATACTTATTTTTAGAACTCTAAGAGATTAAAATTAATGTCGGAACAACACATACAAGTGCGGTCCTTCAGCTGATATTTTTCAAGCAATCTGTCCATTTTTCCTGTTTCTCCAACACACCATATGTCATCACGATCGTCAGCCAAAATCACTTTTGTAGCTGTCCAAGGATGACATGCCTCATATGCTCGATAAGCTAAGATTTTCACCTGCAAAAAGACCAATGAATATTTTTCATTTAAGTACATTTAGCTCCATGAATAATTGTTCAGCACTAAACAATTCTACTATAGCTGATTTTCATCTGTCTAATGAAAATTCTAACTACTTTCAATTGAAAGAACTGAAAAATCGGAATTAATCACTAAGAAAATTTAATATTTCATGTTTTACATGCGGAGAAATCAGATTCTTTATTTCAACAATTTAAAATAACACCCAAACATTATAGGAGGTTAACTTACTAATGTCCCTACAGGATATTTATTTGCTAGATTCACTTCATTTGATACATTCTTGCTTAAGCCGAATACCGTCTGAGCCGTCCAAGGCCCTCGAATTATTTCAATTTTAATATACCCTGTGCAATTCATTGCGCTAACAACTTTGCCTATACCATCCAAAACAATACTTCTATCATATCTGAAAGCTCCCTCACTTCGGAAAAAATGAAATAAATTTAAAAACTTATGTCATTAAACTATTTCTAACAAAAAATTCAGATGCAATAAAAAATGGAAAATTTAACAATGATATATGGAATTCCAGCGCGGATTGACAGCATGATGACATCCGAATAAGAAATAATTTAAAGTGGTCGATTTATTATATGAATTGCCTACATCGGTGTTGATACTACTTCTGAAACCATCAACATTTCCATTACCTTATGCCACTGCCATAAGTAGGTAAAGCTCTACGTTCCCACGCTGATGGAATTTCCATACATACTGGATTGAGCATAACGGTATTGTTTCGGCGTAAAATGAAAAAGTTCCTATGTTTCTCTAAAAAACGACGTACTTCTTTTTCCGTGTTACCAACTTCTCGTATAACTATCTGTAAATTACATTATGACAACAAAGTTAGCTATTTACTGATTAACAAATCCTTCTGTTCAATTTGTCTTTTATTATTTTTATCTACTGTTGTACATGACTACGCACGCACCCAAATATTTCATGATAAAAAATCCTATATCAAAACCTAGTAAAATATAAATTTCATTTCTTAAAATATTATTCATCAATTAACAGTCGGCACTGCCGATAATGACCATATTGAAAGAGCTACTCTCATAAAAACTTGTGAATGTACGATAGTATTAACTGACAGTATTAAATTTCTTGATAACTTGAGTTACAACATCCACATTACGCTTTGACTGATCAATGTCACATAGGAAATTTATTAAATATCCGAACATTTCGCGAAATTCTTGCGAATGATTCTTGACAAGATCGAAAGACATTTCAAAGACATTGGTACGTATCCCGATAAATGCCACTAGGTCATCCAATTTTTTGAAGTTGTTATTCTGGAAAAGACAATACTAAAAGCTTAGGTAATGAATGAATTTCGAAAAATTTTAATAGCTAATAATAATGTTTCGTTCACAAATTTGAGTACGGATGCATCCAGTTATGTGCTAGATCGAATACCCATTACATAAAATCCAACATTTAAAACTATCTGAAGGAAATATACTCAAAGTCATTACCTTATCAATTTTACTGACGATATCGCTCAAATGCTTTAATGTTAAAGCACCACTTTCAGCAAGGATTCGGTCCAGTAATGCTACTTTTTGCAATTCGTTAACAATTTCTTGCTGAGTAAATACCGGTCTTTTACTTAAATCGTTCATCTAAAGTCAGCAAATAAGACTTCATTTACTGTCGAAATATTTTACACATCTATTATTTATATGAAATATAGTATCAAGAAATGAAATAATAATGAGGGAATGGCAGGAATGCATCATAAATGAGAAAAGTCTAAGTAACGCACTACAGGGCAAAAATAATATCAAAAGAAACTTTCTAGAAACTATTTTTATTCATTAACGGATAAAAATTACTTTCGGCACATAATATATTCTTTACCACGAAATAACACATATGATGAAAAACATATAAATAAAATATTGTCACACAAAACTAATATTGCTAAAGCAAACATCAATAAAAGGAAACCAAAACTGATGTAAAATCACTTCAAATTAATAAAATAGATCAAGAAATGTTGATTAACATTTCAATAAAAAAAATATCCTTTATTCTTTTATATTATCAGCTCACTTTTATATTTAAGTCATATATTAACAAATTATTGCTGTTTATCTTGAAATCAACAAACTATCTATTAGAACTATATTATCCATTTCTTAGTTCTTTTGTTTTTTGTTTTTTTTCATAAAGATTATTTGCTTCGGAAATCAAATTAAGCAAACGATGTAAGCTCGAGATGACAGTAAGGTTATGTAAGAAGCAAATTTCCTACAACATTTCACAGTGGAAATTACAATGGTACTATGGCACCTAACTACAATCATACTGTGGTATCTAGTTACAGTGATAATATGGTACCTAAATACAATGATATTACGGTTATGGTTTCACAGTGGAAATTACAATGGTACTATGGCACCTAACTACAATCATACTGTGGTATCTAGTTACAGTGATAATATGGTACCTAAATACAATGATATTACGGTTATGGTTTCACAGTGGAAATTACAATGGTACTGTGGCACCTAACTACAATGACACTGATACCTGAATACCTAAATACAGCAACGCTACGATACCCAATTACAACGATAATATGGTATTAACTACAACAACACCACGGTACACTACTACAATGACACCATGGTACCTTTAAAAATGAATTTACATGCATAACCGATAATTTCATAAATCGTTGCATATGACGAAACTGAAATATTCTGGTCCTAGCGGAGTGATTTTTTTTTTGATTCGAACAGATTTGTGTGAATTTTAGAAATTTCCCTCTTTTTTGAATTAAGAATCAAGAAAAAAACAATTTGATGGTATGAAATAAAAATTATGTAAATTATATATTTTATTTAGCTTATAATTAATATGAGAAAAAAGATTTTTTGATTAATTCTACGTATATTTATTTCATTTATTTGTATCATTTACAATTGTTATATTCCGTGTTGATGCAATTTTATTACACTAATTTTATTAATTAGCTAAATTTATCATATGATGGATGGGCTAATCATAATACATGGAGGAATTTTTGAAGAACGAAAAAGTGAAAATAATAAACAAACAAAATTTTAATTTTAAACTTTTCTCATTATGTATGATAGAGTAGTGATATTAGTTTTAAATGAATAAGCTAAGTCATTTTTTTTATGTATTATTATAGGGATAATCTTATCTTCAAAATTAGAGTGATATGAGTGAATTTTATTTTTACATTCAAGACTTAAATAATTAAAATTAGAATTTTTTTTCTTCTCTCAGAAGATAAAGAATTAACTATTCAATTTTTCATACAAATAATGAATGAATAGCATTGCACTCCACAAATTCAGATATTATTGAAAATTAAAATTTGATCGAATTATGAATTATTTCGATTCTTTCTTTTATTCCATTCTAATTGCAATTAATAATTCGGAAATATGCTGAAAAAAATTTTAGAAATTTTATCAATATTTTGATTATTTGTGCTTGAATTTTAACAAATTTTCCAATTTTTCATGTTTATTTCTTTTCAGTGACTGTTGTAATTATCATTTCTCAAATGAATAAGATAATATTTTTTTTTTTTTTTTTAAAAAAATCTTTATAATAGTTTAGTATTATTTTCATCACAAAAAACATCTGCTAAGTAATGTTTTTTCTTCTTTTTTTTTCCCCTTTTAACTTTGCCCAATTTATTTGCCCGCATTTTTAGGAGATCATAAATTTTAAATGGAAAATTTTTCGAGTGAAACAATTGGGGAAATTATTTATATGAAAATAAAAGCAAATATATATGTATGTTTTCTGGTATTTAATTTGATAAATTATGAATTAATTTGAAATTTTTGTCAATATCGAAATGAAATACACACAAAAAAAATAAAATTATGAATAAAACTTTCTAATTAATTAATTTGACACACACACACACACACACACACACACATACACACATACATACATACACATGTATGTATTTACAAATATAAAAGTTAACAAAAGCGAAAAAAAAAGAATTTTAATTTTAGCTGAATCATTTTTCTGTATATTTATTATTTAAAAATCATTTTTCACCCATAAAAAAAAAAAGATTCAATAAAATAAAATTCCATTTCATTTTATTGAATCTTTAAAAATTTTCATTTCTTTTCTTTCTTTATTTTTTGAGAGAGAGAGAGAGAGAGGAAAAACAAAACAAAACAAAAAAGAATTTTAATTGTTCGAAGAAAGAAATAAAAATGGAAAAAAAAAACAAAAAGTTATGCTTAATTTAAATAATGTTAAAATTTTTTTTTTTTTTCAAAAGTAAAACTTTTGTTCCCTAAGAATTAGTTTGAATTGATAAAATGTTTTGTGTTATGCCAATAGCAATAGATGAAATGAAACAACTGTTTTTAACTCTTTCATTTCACTTTTCATGGAGCTTTTCAATGCTATTGCTGTAAATAAAAATTTTTTTTTTGTTTTCAACATTTCAATTTTTCAATTTATAAATTATTGAATTTTCCGCTTCACATTTTCCCTTCAAATTTATTATTATTAAAATGAAAATGAAAATGAGCTGAAATAAATAATTCAAATAATACTACAAAAAATTATTGCTACTATCATTGCAAGAAATGAAGGAAAAAAAAAAGAAATAAGCAAAATTTGATAATTTAAATTGTTTACTTAAATTGGTCAGAGTGTTTACAAAGTGAAATAATCTTTACATATAATATTTAGTGATAATTTAAATTTAATTTTTTTTTCCTCTGCTAACTATATTCATCCTTGAATGAATAAAATTTAGAAGGAAAGTAAATATTTATAATTGTATTTTTTCATATATATTAATTATTCCAGAACTCTTAGAATATTGTTTTTATCATTAAACTTTTACTTCTATTTATACTTCTACTTTAATTTACCATTTTTAAAAGAATTATTTAATTTTTTTCTTCCACCGTTAGTTATTATAATTAAAAAGGTTCTTTATCATAAAAAATTTTCATCAAATATTTCAATTGTTTTAAATTTTGGAATGCTGTCCTTAATTTGGTGTATTTTTTTAAATATTTTCAAAAATTCATTTCTTTTTTTACAAAAAAAAAAAAGTAAAATAATCAAAAATATTTATCCAAAATAAACTTTTTTTTTTTTAATCACAGAAATAATTTTAATAATATCAGTTAAATTTTACTTGTTTTTTCAGCAAAAGAGAAAAAACTTATCGTTTTTCATTTTTCTCTTTTTTTTTTTGCTGAAAAATAAGATTTGTTAGAGATGAAAGTAAAATAACAGTGATATCTTTGCATCATTTTATTTTTGTTTTCTTTCTCGTTTTTTTTTTTTTTTTTTTTTTTAAATTTGAACTTATGAAAAAGCTAAAGAAATAGATCATTTCGTGTACATTTTATACTTAAATACTTAAATTACAAATTTCATTAATAGATAAAAAGGAGAAAAAAAAAATATTAAAGAATGAAATGAACGAATCAATGAAAAATTCAATTTGAAATTTTCTTTTTTTTTTTGCTTTTGTTTTCTTATTTGAGAAAAAGATTTGAAAAGTTAAAATTGTCATTAATATTGCACACATTTTTATGATGATAGTTAGAATAAAGATGTGAAATTCATATGAAAAACAAAGAAAAGGAGAAAATAAGAGAGAGAAGAAGAAGAAATGTGTATGAGATTTTTATAATAACAACTGTTAAATTGTTAAAAATTTCAATAAAAATATTACAGGGAATAATTTTAAGAAAAGTAAAAGTAAATGAGAAAAAATTTGAAAATAATAAATAAATATTAATACGAATTTTATTATAATAATAGTTAGAAAATAAATAAAAAAATATTATTTTTTTCTTTTTTATCTTTTGATCGAAATTATTATTATTAAAGTTAAGAAGAAAAAAAAAATTTTTTTTTTTTAATGTAATATACTTCCGCTGGAATGCAAAAAAAAAAAAAAAGTTTACAAAGTTGAAAAAAGGAAAAAAAAAATGTAAAGTAAAACTAATCATTCATTTCTTCTTATTTTTGTTCTCATATTATTTCTCAAAATATTTTCTTTCTTCTTTTCTCTTTCTCTCTCTCTCTTTTTCTCTTTTTTTTTGCTTTCTTATTTGTCTAATTGTATGTATTTGAAAAAAAAAAGAAAAAGAAAAAACTATTTAAAATGTTAAAGGAACTTAGGTTGTTGAAGCAGCTAAATAGTTTTTAGCTTCTTTCTACTTCATCCTTCCCTCCATCTATCCATTCATCCTTCCTTCATGGCTTTCTTCTTACTACCAAACATTTTAAATATAAAATTTAAATTCATCTTGTTTTGCTCTCGGAAACAAGGAGGAGGAGGAAGAGGAGGAGGGGAAGGGGAAGAGAGGAGAGAGAGAGAGGAATGAGGTAGTAAAGGTTTAAATTGAGCTCGAGCTTTTAGTTCAAAATTGCTGATGATGATACAGCTGTTGTATTAGAATGTGTGAATTAGTTTAGTATTTGTGTATGTATGTATGTGTCTGTCTACCTATATGTATGTGTATGTGTATGTGTATGTATGTGTCTGTGTATATATATAAATCTTTGTATGTTGTAAAGTAAAGGATTTGAAGTGAGAATGAAAAGTTTATATTACATTTCATTTCACTTTACGTTAACTTTAACAATATACCTCTGCTTCAGGCTATAAGAAATCATCAAACAAGCAGAAGAAAAGTGATCAGTTCAAGAAACAAAAAAAAAAGAAAAGAAAAAAAAAAGTTTTAAACTATAGTTGCTGCTATATCAATTATTTATTTATATTTTGCTCACGGAAAGTAGAAACGACGAAGCTCTAATTGTATGTTTTACTTATTTATTTACTCTTTTCATTTTAAAATTACAATAAATTTAATTTTTATCTAAAAATTTTTCCACATTTTTTTGAATGTATATAATTGTTTTTTTTTTTTTTTGAATTATTAATTCTAATATTATCATATGTGAAAATTTTCCATATTTTAATGTATATAATTGTTTTTTTGTTTTTCAATTTTTAAATTTTAATAATATTTAAAAATTTTTTTTCAATTTTTAATTCCAATATTATTTTCTAGTGTAAACATATCTGAAAATTTTCCACATTTTTTGATGTATATATCTGTTTTTCTTTTCAATTTCTAATTTTAATTAAAATTAAATTAATTTGTAATTACAGCAAGCAGTAACAGCAACAACAACAACAAATAATTACAACAGAAGGAAGTGTATATTAAAATTAATTTTTAAAATATGGATTGTGAAAATAATCCAGCATGGCCATTTCTGCGACAATCACGCGAACAAATGATTGCGGTATAAATTTTTATTTTTTTTAATTAATTTAATTTAATTTAATTTTTTTTTTTACAAATAAATCAATTATGAATTCTTCATGTATTTTTGAAGTTTTTCATCCTTGTTGCAATGATTTTTTTTGTTTCATTTTGTATAATTTCTGCATAATTTATATTTTTGATAGTTTTTTTTTTGTTTTTTTTTTGAGGTATAAATGTGACCTAAAATTAAACTCTTAAAATATATTCTTAAAATATAATTCTTAAAATATAAAAGGTAATTTCAAAAGGAAAAAAATATTTTACAATTCCATTTCATAATTAATTTTATTATTAGATAATAAATTGCTATAAGAAATATAGAAATGATATTTATATATAAAATTGTTTATTTATAATTAGTTGAAAAAAAAAAAATTCGATGATTTTCTTTTTGTAATTCTTGAAATTAATACTATTTGCTTAGTATTATTCTGTTTATTATCTTTCTTTAATTTTCAATTTCATTTATTCATTTTTTGCATTTATTCAATTTCTGTTTAATAATTTATTTTTAATTTAATTGTTTAGTCATTTTATTCATTACATTTCATTTTCTTAATGTTAATAATATCCAAATTTATGCACAATTGATTGTTCATAATTGCAAATGAATTTCTAATATTGAATTTAAAATTTGACTAAAATTAAAATTGCTAATTTTATAAGCTAATCGGATGATTAAATGTTCTACAGCTAATACATATTAATGTATAATTGTGGGAAATATACCAATAAGATATGATATTAATTTAATTTATTATTATGATATTAACTTAGATATACTTATTTATACTTATAACTCATACTTATTACTTATATATACTTGTTACTTTTATATATTTATTACTTTTATATACTTATTACTTATATATACTTATTACTTATATATACTTATTACTTATATATACTTATTATTTTTATATACTTATTTGTCCATTCATCACTCTTTTATATATTTTATTGTTGTTAAAAAAAAAAAAAAAAAAACGGTGAATTTTTGAATTTAATCAAATTTACTATGAAAATTTTATTAGACAAAAAAAAAAAACGAGCAAATTTTTGGAATTTTTTTGTTTTTTTTTGTGAACGATTACAAATTATTCAACTTGAAAATTTTGCGTTATTTGTTTTTAAAAAAAAAAAAAAAACAAAAATCTTAGCATTGACGAATTAGCAATGGATGAGATGACAGAAGCGGACAGACAGCAAAAACAAACGAATCGAATTTTGAAAAAGTACGGATGAAATGACAAACAGATGGTCGGAACATAGAGCTCTGATTGCCCACGCAACACCTATGCTAACCCATAATACGGGCAAATATTTTCTGATGAAAAAGAAGAAATCATCCAAACAGACCTCATTACTAAATACTTCAAATTCTTTTTTTTTTTTTCCAAAAAATGAAAAATTTAATTTTAAAGTGTAATTTTTAATCAAAAAATAATTTATGAAAAGATGTTTTTTTCTTCCTTTTCTTATGTTTTGAGAGTTCAAAAATATTCCATTTAAAGTACAATTCTTTTTGTTTTTTGTTTTTTTTTTTTTTTACTTTTTATTTGATAATTAAAACGAAAATTTCTTAAAAAAATTTTTAAATTATAAAATTTTGTTAGAATTTATCTGATTTTCACAGATATATTCTTGTATTTTTCTTTTTGTTTTTGTTTATTTCTTTGTTATTGCAAATCTTAATTTATCTCTCTTTTTTTTTATTATTTTTAATCTATTTTTAAACGATATTAAAATATATTCATTACAGATCATTTATGATCATTTGACCTTGAATACTAGTAGAAGTCACAAGGGGTCATGTCATGACCTTTTGTGACTTCTCGTGTCATGATTCCAGAAAAATAACTTTAAGAAGTAATTCTAACTAATAATCAGAATAAAAGAACTAACTTAGTGAGAGTTTCTAAACTTCAAGCTTTTACTGTTTTTGTTTGCAGGATCAGTCGAAACCGTACGATTCAAAGAAAAATGTTTGGATTCCGGATGCGGAAGATGGTTATATTGCTGCGGAAATTAAATCTAGCAAGGGTGACTCAGTCACCGTGGTTTCTGTTCGTGGAAATGAGGTTTCTTTCACTGATAATTTTTTTTTTTTGTAAATTTTAACAAACATATTTAAAGAAATAAAAAATGAAGCACATTTTTAAAATGAAATTTAAATGTATCTTTCTAGCTTTAAATATAAATTATAATTTTGATTAAAATTTTATGATATTTTAACTGAATTAAACATTATTCAAATACTTTTTATTAATAGTAATTTGTTGACAAAAAATTTTTCCTAACATTCATAAAACAAATAGATTGTGAATTTAATCAAAATATTCATAGTTTTTAGAAAAAATCAAAATTGAATTTAATGAAAATTTGATTATTTCTTTCATTTACACTTTATTTGCTTCTTTTTTTTTCTTCGGAAAAATGAAATTTAAAAAAAAAATAAATTTTTTGAAAAAAGTTAATTTTCTAATAAATTTACAACAGATATGTTTTACATCGCAGTGTGATAGAATAAAAATTAATATTTGAAACAAAGAAGAAAAAGTATTACTACAAAAAAAAAAAAATTAAATTATTAATTTTTTATTAATATATTAGTAATTCCATTTTAATTATTCATAATTTTTCATTCTTTCATTTCTTAGGTAACACTTAAAGCAGAAATTGTGCAAGAAATGAATCCACCAAAATTTGAAAAAACCGAAGATATGTCAAATCTTACTTTCCTGAATGATGCTTCCGTTCTGCATAACTTACGTGCACGTTACGGTCAAATGTTGATTTACGTAAGTGATTATTAGCATTATTATTACTTTTCTTTTAAAATTTTATCTATGATATATTAACAATAGACAAAAGTAACATTCATACTTCATTTTAATAAGTTTTTTTTTTCAGTATATTTTGAAGAAAAAAACTTTTTTTTTAAATTGATACTTCCGTTCAGCATAATTATTTCTGTTCCGTCTTTCAATTTTATTCCGTTTTGTTCCATCTTTCAAAAGTCTATTTCCTTCTATTCCGTTTTTTTTTTTTTCAGTTAAAAATTATAAATTTATTTTCAGACATATTCAGGATTGTTCTGTGTTGTGATAAATCCGTATAAAAGACTTCCAATTTATGAACCATCTGTAGCCGAAATGTACATGGGTAAACGAAGAACCGAAATGCCACCACATTTATTTGCTGTTTCTGATGAAGCTTATCGTAATATGCTAATCGATCATGAAAATCAGTCAATGTTAATTACCGGTGAATCCGGTGCCGGAAAAACCGAAAATACCAAAAAAGTATTTTTGTTTTTATTTTTTTGGCATTCAATTAATCATAGCAAATAAAAAAAAAAGCAATTAAACAATAAAAATGATATTTGTATTCATATCACAATTTGTAAATAAAATAATTTTAAATAATAAAAATTTGTTGTTTAAATTTTTGCTAAATCATTACAACTTATAATAAAACATTAAAATGCAAGTGAAAATTTCAAATAGCTTAAAATTATTTACAAATTATTCAAGTCAATTTAGTAAAAGTTAAGCTAAAAAGTGTAATATACTAAATAATTTTATGATGTTAAACATTATGAATTATATATTAGTATGTTGTATATTTCAAACTCTATTAATCGTTTTTCCGGAATGATTTCAGGTTATTGCATACTTTGCAACGGTAGGTGCATCTCAACAAAAAGGTGATGCAGCAGCAGCGGCAACACCAGATCAACCGGATAAAAAGAAGGTAACTTTGGAGGATCAAATTGTTCAAACAAATCCGGTACTGGAAGCTTTTGGTAATGCAAAAACGGTCCGGAACAATAATTCATCTCGATTTGGCAAATTTATTCGAATTCACTTCTCGAAACTAGGTCGTGTCGCATCATGTGACATTGAACACTGTTAGTTTTATTAATTATTTTTTGAAATTTAATTATAAAATTACAAAAAAAAAAAAAAATCACTTGTCAAAATTAAATGTTATATTTAATTTTAAATATATTATTATTACTATTATATCTTCAAATATGTATCCTCTTCTAATGATACCTTTATTTATGATGAATTGAAATAAATTAAATTGAATTACTCCATTTCGAGTAAATCATTTTAATCAATTCAGTTACTAATTTTTAATAATTTCTTTCCAATCTAACTTCAAACGCTCAAAAAAAATATTCTTTCAACATTTTTTTTCTTTTCTATGCTTATAATATAAACTTTTAATAGATTAAAAAATCATTTGGTAGAAATATAATTTGAAAGAGTTTAAAAATTTTTTTAAACATAAATGTTTATTATAAAAAATTACAATTCTTAATTATTAAAAGGTACAAATATATATTTAATAATATGCAATTAAAATTTGCAACTTTTAATTGTATTAAAATTTGAAGAAAAATTAATAAATTTATTTAATTATTAATTTCAATTATTACTCATTTCCTTATTAATTTTAATTGCTATGTAAATTGATTACTTTCTTTTTTTTCATTTATTCTAGATTTACTTGAAAAATCACGTGTTATACGTCAAGCACCAGGTGAACGATGCTATCATATATTTTATCAGCTGTATTCCGATTTCATACCAACATTAAAGAAAGAATTATTATTGGATAAACCATTGAAGGAATATCATTTTGTTGCACAAGCAGAACTAACAATTGATGGTGTTAATGATAAGGAAGAGCATCAATTAACTGATGAAGCATTTGATATTTTACATTTTTCACAAGAGGAGAAGATGAATTGTTATAAATTAATGGCAGCAATAATGCATATGGGAAATATGAAATTTAAACAACGACCACGTGAAGAGCAAGCGGAACCGGATGGTACAGATGATGCGGAAAAAGCATCAGCAATGTACGGTATTGGTCATGAGGAATTCTTGAAAGCATTAACAAAGCCAAAAGTTAAAGTTGGCAATGAATGGGTCAATAAAGGTCAAAATATTGATCAAGTGACATGGGCTGTTGGAGCAATGGCTAAAGGTCTATATTCGAGAGTGTTTAATTGGCTTGTTAAAAAATGTAATAAAACATTGGATCAAAAAGGTATATCAAGAGATTTCTTCATTGGTGTATTGGATATTGCTGGATTTGAAATATTTGATGTAAGTGCTTTTTTTTTTTTTTTAATATTTTATTAAAATTCAAATGCTTTTTTTGACTTTGTTTTTTTTTTTTTAGGAATTTGATTAGATATAAATTAAAAAAAAAAAATTTTTATAATTTAAAACAATAATTTTTGAAATTATAATGAATGAAAAATAGTGGAAGAAAATTATTATTATTATACTCTAATTTTTATATATTGTATTAATTTAAAAAAAAAAAAAATCACTTTAACTTTTATATATTCTATTAATTTCCTTATTTTTTAATTTATTGAAGTAAATAAATAAATATATATTATCAAATTAATCAATCAAAAAATGAAATCATTTATTTATATCAAATCTAACATAATTAATTTAAATTAATTTTTTTTACAACAAAATCTTTATATATGTTTAAATTTTATTTTATCAAATCTAGCATAATTAATTAATTAATTAATTAACTTTTCATAATGAAATCTTTATTAATATATACATAATTTTTTTTAGTTCAATTCATTCGAACAACTTTGGATTAATTTTGTAAATGAAAAATTACAACAATTTTTCAATCATCATATGTTTGTATTGGAGCAAGAAGAATATGCCCGAGAAGGCATCCAATGGACATTCATTGATTTTGGCTTAGATTTACAAGCCTGTATTGAATTAATTGAAAAACCATTAGGCATTCTATCAATGTTAGATGAAGAATGTATCGTACCTAAAGCAACTGATCTTACATTGGCGCAAAAGTTAAACGACCAGCATTTGGGTAAACATCCAAATTTTGAGAAGCCAAAACCGCCAAAAGGAAAACAAGGTGAAGCGCATTTTGCTATGAGACATTATGCTGGTACTGTTCGATACAATGTGAGTAATTGGTTGGAAAAGAATAAAGATCCATTGAATGATACGGTTGTATCAGTTATGAAACATTCAACTGGTAATTTACTTCTCACGGAAATTTGGCAAGATTATACGACACAGGAAGAAGCTGCAGCTGCTGCTAAAGGTATTTGAATTATTTAATTTAATTAGATTAGATTAGATTTAATTTGATTAGATTTGATTTGATTTGATTAGATTAGATTAAATTAGATTAGATTGGATTTGATTAGATTAGATTTGATTTGATTAGATTTGATTTGATTAGATTTGATTAAATTAGATTAGATTGGATTTGATTAGATTAGATTAGATTAGATTAGATTAGATTAGATTAGATTAGATTTGATTTGATTTGATTAGATTTGATTTGATTTGATCAAATTTAATTTGATTAGATTTGATTTGATTGGATTAGATTTAATTAAATTAGATTTGATTTGGTTTGATTTGATTTGATTGGATTTAATTTGATTAGATTAGATTTGATTTGATTTGATTTGATTGGATTTAATTTGATTAGATTTGACTGAATTAGATTAGATTAAATTTGATTACATTTGATTAGATTAGATTTGATTAAATTAGATTAGATTGGATTTGATTAGGTTAGATTTAATTAGATTAGATTTGATTTGATTTGATCAAATTTAATTTGATTTGATCAAATTTAATTTGATTAGATTTGATTTGATTGGATTAGATTTAATTAAATTAGATTTGATTTGGTTTGATTTGATTTGATTGGATTTAATTTGATTAGATTTGACTGAATTAGATTAGATTAAATTTGATTACATTTGATTAGATTAGATTAAATTTGGTTCGGTTAGATTTGATTAAATTAAAAAAATAACGACTACAGAATGGAATATTTTTTTGTTAAATATAATGAGAAAATATATGTATATAAAAGGATTAGTAAAAGTTAAGAAATTTTTATTTCTCATCAATGCATGAATTGTTTAATGAAATTTGTGAAAATTTTTTGAGGCGAAAAATTAGTAATCAGTGAAATTTTAGAGGAAAAGAATTTAAAAAAAAAAAAAATTATTGATATAATATCTGATAAATTATCATTATTTTGAAGAAAAAATTTTTTAATCTTAGATATAAAATATTTTCACTAAATAATTCATGCACTGATTCTAATGAATTTTATCATCAATTAACTGATGAAAGCTAATAAATATTTTTTTATCATTTTTATCTTTAATAATAAATTGATAATTTTAATGAGTAATACTTCTAAATCAGTTAATTGATAAGAAAATTCATTAGAATATGATTTTTTTTTTTGTTTCTTCTGTTGAAAGGAATGTAAAAAAGTAAAATTGAAAAATAAAATTTTTTATGCTAGAAAAATTTAATTAGTTTAAATTTTACAATTATACTGATAATTTATCATATTATCAATTTCAGCTTTAATTAATTTTAGATGGAGGAGGAGCGGGCAAAAAGAAGGGTAAATCCGGTTCATTCATGACCGTTTCTATGTTATATCGTGAATCACTGAATAATCTAATGACAATGTTGAATATGACACATCCGCATTTTATTCGGTGTATTATTCCGAATGAAAAGAAGCAATCCGGTTTACTGGATGCGGCATTAGTATTAAATCAGCTGACATGTAATGGTGTATTGGAAGGTATTCGTATCTGTCGTAAAGGTTTCCCTAACAGGTATTTTTAATTATTTCATTTTAATAATTTTAAAAAAAAAAAATTGGTTTTAGTTGAAAAATTATCTCTTTTTAATATAAAAAATTTTAATTCTGCACAATTTGAAGATATATTTTAATGAAATTTTAATAAAAATAAAATTTATTAAAATTTCAAAAATGCAAAACTTAATCTTTCTATTAATAATAAAATAGCCAAATTTTTTTAAAAAAAAAGAAAATACTAAGCTTTTAATGATTATTTTTAAAATATAATAGCTATTATAGCTCTAAATAAATCATTTTTTCTTTTTTTTTTTTAGTTTAATAAAAAATTTTTTTAAAATAATCAAATTTTTTTTTTAACTTTTAATAATTACTATTGTTCCTTTTTTTTTTTTTTTTTTTTTTAAAACATAATATCTATTTTGTTTTATTTTTAGAACATTACATAAGGATTTCAAGCAACGCTACTCAATACTTGCTGCAAATGAATCGATCAGTAGCACAGATATGAGAAAATGTGCTGAAGCAATGCTAAGTAAAATTGTTAAAGAAAATATATTAACGGAAGAAAATTTTCGAATTGGTGAAACAAAAGTTTTCTTTAAAGCAGGTGTATTAGCACATTTGGAAGATGTTCGTGATGAAGCATTGAAAACATTGCTAACAAAATTACAATCACAAATTAAATGGTATCTTGGCTTAACTGATAAAAAACGACGTATTCAACAAAAAGCTGGCTTATTAATACTACAACGAAATGTTCGTGCGTGGTGTTCATTACGTACGTGGGAATGGTTTAAATTATACACCAAAGTACGACCAATGTTAAAAGAAGGCAAAATAGCCGAAGAATTGGAAAAATTACAGGAAAAATTAAAATCACTTGAGGAAACATTACAAAAGGAGGAAAATTTACGAAAAAATTTGGACGATAGTGCAAAAAAAATGGAAACCGAAAAAGCGGAATTATTTGAAAAATTAGAAGCTGTAAAAAATAATCTTACAAAATCTGAAGGTAATCTATCACAAATGGAATCAGCAAAATCAGATGCTGATAAAAAACTTGAGGTAAATATTTTACTTTTTTAGTTTAATCGTTTTTTTTTTTTTTTTTGAATTTAATGTAAAATATTTTTTGTAGTTTAATTTAAGCATTTTTGTAATTTAAAGTAAATTTTTGGGTGAAAATTTTTAGGATGAATTAATAATTAAGGAAAGCTTTTTTTTTTTTTTCTTTCTGTGAAATATAATTGAGTTGTGAAATTTTATAAAAAAAATTTTTACTTTTACTTTCTTTTTTTAATATTTTACTTTACTTTGCTTTCTTCTTCTCTTTTCAGGAGTTAAATGAGCAACTTGCTGATGTTGAAGATCAAAATACAGAAATTCAACGATCAAAAAAGAAGGTTGAAGGTGAAATTGATGCATTAAAAAAGCAAATTCAAGATTTAGAAATGAGTGCACGTAAAGCAGAAATGGAAAAGCAATCAAAAGATCATCAAATTCGTTCACTTCAAGATGAATTACAACAACAAGCAGAATCGATGGCAAAATTAAACAAAGAAATTCGACATCAGGAAGAATTAAATAAGAAAATTACGGAAGATTTACAAGGTGAAGAAGATAAAACAAATCATGCAAATAAGGTTAAAAGTAAATTAGAGCAAACGTTAAATGATTTGGAGGATAATTTGGAACGTGAACGACGTGCAAAAGCAGATAGTGAAAAATCAAAGCGAAAACTTGAAGGTGAATTAAAAATTACACAAGAAAGTATTGATGAAGCAACACGTCAACGACGTGACCTAGAAAATAATATGAAACGAAAAGAAGCCGAATTAAATGCATTAAGTAGTCGATTGGAAGATGAACAAGCAACAATTAGCAAATTACAACGACAAATTAAAGAACTGCAAAGTCGTGCAGCTGAATTGGAAGATGAAGTGCAAAATGAGCGACAATCACGATCAAAGACTGATAAGGCACGTTCAGATATACAGCATGAATTAGAGGAGTTGAATGATCGACTAGATGAGCAAGGTGGTGCAACTGCAGCACAAATTGAAATTAATAAGAAACGTGAAGCTGAATTAGCTAAATTAAGACGTGATATTGAGGAGGCAAATATGAATCATGAAAGTCAACTAGCAGCATTACGTAAAAAGCATACAGATGCTGTAGCTGAGCTAACCGATCAATTAGATCAAATTCAAAAACAAAAGCAAAAATTGGAAAAAGATAAAATGCAATATGTGCGTAATACGGAAGATTTAGCTGCACAATTAGATGGTGAAAGTGCTGCTAAAGTAAGCAATGAAAAATTAGTGAAACAATTTGAATTACAATTAAATGATTTACAAGCACGTGCAGATGAGCAATCACGTCAATTGCATGATTATAGTTCAGTACGTAATCGTCTTGGAAATGAGAATAGTGATATGATAAGACAATTAGAAGATGCAGAAGAGCAAATTTCAACATTACAACGATTTAAAGGACAATTAACACAACAAATTGAGGATATACGTTCAGCAACTGATGAAGAAATACGTGAACGGCAAGTGCTTGCAGCGCAAGTGAAAAATTTACAAATTGAAGCGGAACAAGCACATAATAATTTAGAGGAAGAAATTGAATCAAAGAATGAAGTTGCAAGACAATTAAGTAAAGCAAATGGTGAAATACAACAATGGCAATCACGTTTTGAGCAAGATGGTATGCTTCAAACTACTGAACTTGAAGAAGTACGTCGTAAACAAGGTATTAAAATTAATGAATTACAAGAAGCACTTGAACAAGCTAATCAAAAAATTATAACATTGGAAAAAGCACGATCACGTTTGCTTGGTGATCTTGATGATGCGCAAGTTGACGTAGAACGAGCAAATGCTACAGCAAGTCAGCTAGAGAAGAAGCAGAAAGGTTTTGATGCGGTAAGTTTTTCATTTTATTCCTTTTCAAATTATGATCGATTAAAATTTAATTTTGAAATTGTTACAGAAAGTTGAATATTTTCACTTAGCTGATCACTGATTGATTGAAATTGATTTGTATTGAAATATAAAACAATAATGCATCTATTGATTGATAACTTTTTTGTTTAATTAGAAATACACTTAAGGAAATATATAGATCTGTTCGAATTAAGCATATCGATTCTTATCAGTTTAATCTCTGATATGTGATCAATTGATCATTTCGAGATTATCCTGCTCAAAAGGATTTGAAAGGGGCTTGTTCCTCACCTATCACGGGTTGATCCGGTATTGCATCTACCCATGGGAACAGTCCATTTACCCTTCTAGGGATAGATTTTGTCCAGACTACATTTTACACTTATAATTTTATGAATTTCATTTTTTTGATCACTCCTAATCTTAATTGAAGTCATCTAGTTTAGCTTATCAACAGATCAGGCTTATCAGTAAGTTTAGATAAAAAGCAGGAAGAGAATGCATATATTGTAATATAATATTAAATTAGCTTCAAATATATAATTTTTATGGCAAAAAAAAAAGTTTTTTTTAAAAATTAAATATTTAATTTTAGCTTGTTGATGAATGGAAAAAGAAAGCTGATGATATGTCAGCAGAGCTTGATTCTGTTCAACGTGAAGTACGTAATCTGTCAACGGATTTATTCAAAATGAAGACAACACATGAGGAATACTTTGATACAGCTGAAGGACTTCGTCATGAAAATAAAGCTTTAAGCAATGAAATTAAAGATTTAACTGATCAGCTTGGTGAAGGTGGTCGTTCACAACATGAAATGCAAAAAATGATTCGACGATTGGAAATTGAAAAAGAAGAATTACAACATGCACTTGATGAAGCAGAAGGTAAATTCAAAGATTATTTATTTATTTAAAAAAAAAAAAAAAAAGGATTTAGAAAAAGTTATTATAAAATGCATATGATATTATTATTATTTTTTTTTTTTTCAAAAAAATTGATGCATGAATTATTTAGAAAAAAATAATGGAATTAAGGAATGTAATGTTATATAAATTTATTGTAAAATATATATAATTGTTTTTTTATGATTTTTTTTTCTGAGGCAATGTATGAATTATTTATAAAAAAAATAAATAATCATTATTACTACTATTATCATTATTATTACTATTGTTATCATTATTACTGGTATTATTACCATCATCATTATTAATAGTATTACTATCATCAATATTATCACTATTATCACCATTATCATCATTATTAATAGTATTACTGTCATCAATATTATCACTATTATTACTATTAATAGTATTATTACCATTATTATTATTATTACTATTATTATCATCATCGCCGTTATTGCTGTCAATATTAATACTATATTACCGTTATTATTATTAATATTTTTGTTTTTATTATCATTGTTATTGTTATTTTGTAGGAGCATTAGAAGCAGAAGAAAGTAAAGTAATGCGAGCACAAGTGGAAGTGTCACAAATACGTTCTGAAATTGAGAAGCGAATACAAGAGAAGGAAGAAGATTTTGAAAATACTCGACGAAATCATCAACGTGCATTAGAATCGATGCAAGCATCATTAGAAGCTGAATCGAAGAGTAAAAATGAACTTTTACGTGTAAAGAAAAAGCTTGAATCAGATATTAATGAACTTGAAATTGCACTTGATCATGCTAATAAAGCAAATGCTGATGCACAAAAGAATTTGAAACGATGCACAGAGCAAATTCGTGAAATTCAATTACAGGTTTGTTTAATTTTAATCTTTAAAAAAAAAAATATTAGATAAGAAAATATACAATTGTTAAACTAGCAATAAAAGTTATTATCATTTAATTAATTACAATTTCAATTTCATTAAAATATCAAATAATATTATTAGCTATCATTTTATTAATGATAAAACTTTTGTGAAATGATTTTATAATTGCACTACTTTTAATAATAAAATTCCAAAAATTTTTTTTTCTATTTTATATGTTTATTTATTTTTTTTAAAAAAAAATAGAAAAATTTAGATATTTTCATTTTTTTTTTACGGCAGTAAATTAGAATTTTAAAAAAAAAAGAATTAAAATTTAATTTAATATTAGTAATTTTGATTGATAGATCGAAGAAGAACAACGACAACGTGATGAGATGAAGCAGCATTATTATACAGCGGAAAAACGTGCACAAATTTTGGAAGCTGAAAAGGATGAAATTAGCCAAGCGTTAGAGCAAGCGGAACGAGCACGTAAACAAGCAGAATTAGACGCAAGTGAAAGCCGTGATCAAGCTAATGAATTAAATATGCAAGTTAGCAATCTTGGTGCAGCAAAGAGGAAAGCTGAAGGAGAACTACAGGTAAATTATTCATTGCCAGGTATAATTTTATACAATTAATTAAATAATTAATTAGCTGAATATCGTTAATCATTAATTTTTGTAAATGATTTATTTGCAGTTAATTAATTAGCTAGATGGTTTAATAATTAATCATTTAATTATTTTTATTAATTCTAAAACTTATATTTAAGAAAATCCTTTAAAATTCAATCGCAAAAAAGAGAAGAAAAAATTGCGATCAAAATTTTTTTTCAATTTTTTGTAAATGAATTGTAGTAACCAATAATAATGTCTGTAGGATTGAGAAAAAGGAATGAGTAAAATTAAAAGATTTTTTCTTTTTTTTTTTAAATTTTGATTTTTAAATTGAAAAAGTTTTATTTTTAGGCTATTCATGCAGACATGGATGAAACATTGAATGAATTTCGAGCATCAGAAGAACGAAGCAAAAGAGCAATCGGTGATGTTGAAAGGCTTGCAGAAGAATATCGACAAGAGCAGGAACATGGCTTACATATTGATAGGATGAGAAAAGGCCTTGAGGCACAAATTAAAGATATGCAGGTAAGCCTTACCTTTCCTTTTCTCTCTCTCGCTCCCTCTCTCTCTCTCTCTCTCTCTTAGAATGTTTCGGAATAAAAAAAAAAAAAATTTGATTAAAATTTAAATTGTTTTGTTGTTTTTCATAGCATTTAAACTTCTCTCTCTCTCTTAAAATGTAGTAACTTACCTTTCCTTTTCTCTCTCTGTCCCTCCCTCTCTCTTAAAATGTGGTAACTTACCTTTCCTTTTCTCTCTCTTCCTCTCTCTCTCTCTTAAAATGTGGTAACTTACCTTTCCTTTTCTCTCTCTGTCCCTCTCTCTCTCTTAAAATGTAGTAACCTACCTTTCCTTTGCTCTCTCTCTCCCTCTCTCTCTCTTAAAATGTGGTAACTTACCTTTCCTTTTCTCTCTCTCCCTCTCTCTCTCTTAAAATGTGGTAACTTACCTTTCCTTTTTTCTCTCTCCCTCTCTCTCTCTCAAAATGTGGTAACTTACCTTTCCTTTTTTCTCTCTCCCTCTCTCTCTCTCTTAAAATGTGGTAACTTACCTTTCCTTTTCTCTCTCTCCCTCTCTCTCTCTTAAAATGTGGTAACTTATCTTTCCTTTTCTCTCACTCCCTCTCTCTCCCTTAAAATGTAGTAACTTACCTTTCCTTTGCTCTCTCTATCCTCTCTCTCTCTTAAAATGTGGTAACTTACCTTTCCTTTTCTCTCTCTCCCTCTCTCTCTCTCTTAAAATGTGGTAACTTACCTTTCCTTTTCTCTCACTCCCTCTCTCTCCCTTAAAATGTAGTAACTTACCTTTCCTTTTCTCTCTCTCCCTCTCTCTCTCTCTTAAAATGTGGTAACTTACCTTTCCTTTTCTCTCACTCCCTCTCTCTCCCTTAAAATGTAGTAACTTACCTTTCCTTTTCTCTCTCTCCCTCTCTCTCTCTTAAAATGTGGTAACTTACCTTTCCTTTTCTCTCACTCCCTCTCTCTCCCTTAAAATGTAGTAACTTACCTTTCCTTTTCTCTCACTCCCTCTCTCTCCCTTAAAATGTAGTAACTTACCTTTCCTTTGCTCTCTCTATCCTCTCTCTCTCTTAAAATGTGGTAACTTACCTTTCCTTTTCTCTCTCTCCTCTCTCTCTCTCTCTTAAAATGTGGTAACTTACCTTTCCTTTTCTCTCACTCCCTCTCTCTCCCTTAAAATGTAGTAACTTACCTTTCCTTTTCTCTCTCTCCCTCTCTCTCTCTCTTAAAATGTGGTAACTTACCTTTCCTTTTCTCTCACTCCCTCTCTCTCCCTTAAAATGTAGTAACTTACCTTTCCTTTGCTCTCTCTTCCTCTCTCTCTCTCTTAAAATGTGGTAACTTACCTTTCCTTTTCTCTCTCTGTCCTCTCTCTCTCTTAAAATGTGGTAACTTACCTTTCCTTTTCTCTCTCTCCCTCTTTCTCTCTTAAAATGTAATAACTTACCTTTCCTTTTCTCTCTCTGTCCTCTCTCTCTCTTAAAACGTGGTAACTCACCTTTTCTCTCTCTGTCCCTCTCTCTCTCTTAATTTAGCATAATGACCTGTATTCTCATATTTATATTATCATCATGTTTTTTTCTTATATTATTTTGCAATTAAAAATTGTTTAAATTAAACTTATATTAAAATGTTAACAATTAACTCATATTAAAATTTTAAAAATTAATTCATATAAAAATTTAAAAAATCAACTCATATCAAGAATCAATTCAAATTAAAATTTCCAAAATTTACTCATACTAAAATTAAAAAAAAAAAAAAAGAAAACAACCCATATCAAATTTTAACAATTAATTCCTTATTAAAATTCTAAAAACTAATTAATATTAAAATTTTAAAAATTAGTTTATAATATGCTCATTTTAAGTAAATTTTAAGGCACAATTAGAAGAAGCAGAGCAAGCAGCATTAAAAGGTGGTAAAAAAGTGATTGCTAAATTAGAACAACGTATTCATGATCTCGAAGCTGAACTTGATGGTGAACAACATCGTTATCAGGAAGCAAATAAAAATGTTGCTAAATCAGAGAGGCGAGTACGTGAATTACAATTTCAAGTGGATGAAGATAAGAAAAATTATGAACGATTGCAAGATCTTGTTGATAAGCTTCAAAGTAAAATTAAAACACAAAAGAAGCAATTGGAAGATGCTGTAAGTTTTATTTATTTATTTTAAATATTTAATTTAAATTTGTAATTGAATTTTGTATAGAAATAAGAAAAATTCAAAGGAATAAATAAAAATTGTAAATTTCCTTTTTTTTTTTGTAGTAATAAATTTATTAATTTAAATAAATATTTTATAAATTTAAAAAAAAAAAAAGCTACGTTAAAGTAATTCAAATATATTTTAAGTTACCTAATTGATGCTTACATGTAGTATTTGAATTTTGATAAATTAGAAATTAATTTATTCATTAATTGGGAATAATTAACATTCCTAGTAATAATTGATGTTTATATATATTTACAAATCAATCATCTATTACTACTATTCAACTGATAATATTTACTGATAAGAAATGAATCATCCAACAAAAGTGTAAAAGGTTAGGTAATAGGGAAATAAATGTTCAAGCATTCATTTCTAATACTTAATAAAAAATAAAATTCTCATTTAAATAATAAATATTGCTGGGAAAAATTTTTTACTTTATCCTTATCAATTATCATTTATCATTTACTTATTGTAATCATATATCTCTTTAATATGAGCAAATTTAGCATTTCACGTCTAATCTTTAATGATAAGGATCAAATGATATAAGTTTACTGATCAAATTAATAAATTGATATGAGGTGAATTAACTGATAATAAGTTGAAATGATATGAATTGATTAATTTAATCATATAACAATTCTCCTATATATATAAGTTTCTACGTTATATCTACGTAGTAATTATTTCACGTGATAGAACTACGTGAAATACGTAATTTTCATCGAACGTTTCTCCTTTTGCCTTTTAAGATACTTTCACAAAAATAAATACAATTAAATTAATAAGTTGAAATGATATGAATTGATTAATTTATCATTTACAGGAAGAGCTTGCAAATACAAATTTGCAAAAATATCGACAAATTCAGCATCAATTGGAAGATGCTGAAGAGCGTGCTGATAATGCGGAAAATTCCGTCACAAAAATGCGCTCAATGAGCCGGACAACAATGTCAGTTGGACCGGGTACCGGTTTGCAAGCAACTCGTTCCGCTACCGTACTCCGTTCACCATCTCGTAATCGTATTTCCGACTATTAGAAATTAAATTAATTTTTTTTTTCTTTCAGAAAAAAAAACGAAAAGAAAAGAAAAAAAAAGAAAAAAAACGCGAAAATATTTTTTTTATTATTATTTAATTCATTTTATTTTAATTATTTGTATGCATATAGTTCTCTACTTGAAATGATCACATTTCTTCTTCTTCCTAAATATATTACTACCATATAATGTTTGTTTTTTTTTTTTTTTTTTCATTTTTCTTTTAACGATGCGACAAAATAGAATTATTGAAAGAATAAAAAAAAAAAAAATGAAGTATTATCTATCTGTGCAAGCATAATAATTGTTTTACTGATAACTAATGATATGATATGATATGATAATGTAACAAGTTAACATACATATCATTTATTTAAAAAATATTCGAGATATACACTTGGTTAATTTTTCTCGATAGTTAAAATAAAGAAACAAGAAAAAAAAAATGATTACAAAAAAAAAAAAGCATAACTAAATTTTGAATGAAACAAAATTATATACAATTCTTATTGTTTCACATCTATTTGATATTTAAATTTAATATTTAAATGACAAATAAATGCAAAATTATATACAATTCTTATTGTTTCACATCTATTTGATATTTAAATTTAATATTTAAATGACAAATAAATGCAAAATTATATACAATTCTTATTGTTTCACATCTATTTGATATTTAAATTTAATATTTAAATGACAAATAAATGCAAAATTATATACAATTCTTATTGTTTCACATCTATTTGATATTTAAATTTAATGGTCAAACAAATTGCTATTCAAATAAATGCAAAAATATATATTATTGTTACTGTTTCACACATATCTATCATTAATCGTATTCCTTTTTTTTGATTTCTAAAAATTTAAACGAAAAAAAAAAGCAAATTAGAATATTCCAATTATCCATTTAAATTTATATTAATAGCAAAAACTGTAGATGCATTTATCATCATTAAATAAAATCACAATAATAATTTTAAAAAATTGATTTAAAAATTCCGTAATATTAATTTCAAATATTTTTAATTTCTAAATATATATTTTAATTTAGAATTGCAATTAATTTATAAGTGCATAAATTAAATAATTCAATCTTTTTTTTTTCGTCTTTTTGTGATAATTTTATTTAAACCTAAATTAGTTGCAGAATTACAATTAAAATTACATGCATAAATTGAAGAACTCAATTTGATAAATTTATTTAAATTTAAATTATCTTACATTATACATATATTTCAAGATGAAATTAAACAATTATTCCAAAGTAAATAACATTTTATTGTCTTATTTTCAAGATAAATTATATATGACTGATAATTCGGCGACATAAATAGCAAAATTTTTTTTTTTTTTGTTTTGAAGTTTAATTCAATTAAATATTTAATATTTTTGTATTTGTTAATTTCTTTTTTTTTCTTACTTTTGACAGCATTAATACTTGCAAATTTGTTGTTTAAATTTTGAAAAAGTTGTGAGAATTGATGAAAGAAGAGTCATAAAATGCTGTGACAATTGATGAGTGTGACCGGATGGATACTCCTGGGAAATTTACCCATAATTAAGATGAAAGTCTCTTCAAAAGACAATCATTTTAACTGATTTGATGGTTTTTTTATGGGTAAATTGAAAAGGGTAGGTTAGGAGAAAACGGTGTGAAATTGTATTATTTATTAAAAATATAAATTTTATCTATTGAAGATAAATAAATAAATAGAAAGGTAAAAATAATAAATTTCATATTAAAATTTATGAAATTTTTGTTAAATATTTTTTATCATTTAAAAATTTTCAACTATTATTAATTTTAAAAAAATTTTTTTTTTTTTTTTTGCATAATTGAAGGAAACTTAATCAAAAAATTTTCTCTTCTAAGAAATTTTAAAATAATATTTAAAATATCATATAATTTGCTTCAAATTTAAAATTTACAGAATTAGAAATGCATCAATTTTTTTTTTTCAATTATGCAATTTCATTGATTAATAATTTAAAATTTGAATTATTTACAAATCCCTAAAATTTTTCCATCATTTAACTTTTTTTTTTCTTATATTTTTAAATATATTTAAAGTAAACAGAGAGAGAGAGAGAGAGAGAGAGAATTTACCATTACTAATTGATCATTTGGATGCAATAAATGCTTACCCATTACTCTATCATCACTGTTTTTATATTAATTTTAATGATATGAGCAAAGATATTTGATAGATTTAACAATGAAAAAAAAACCAATATTATTTCAATCAATGATAAACTGCTTACCCGTGGGGAAAGTGAAATGAACATTTTTATTGCTTTTTTTGCCCATTTATTTCTCCCAAATATATCATCTCTCAAGGTTTGATTAAAAATAAAAATTCAAATTAAATTAAAATTAAATTTCATCTTTTGATATAATCGTACAAAAAATTAGATTAAAATATATCACAAGAATTAAATTGATAGATTATAATGAAAACAGAAATGAGTAATCTTTGGAGAGAGAGAGGGAGAGAGAGAGAGAGAAATGAAAAATGTAAGATTTTTAATTGTAGTAAAATTGTAATAAATTTAGGATTATCGGTGTATGTTTATTGACATAAAAGAGATACAATTTTGACTCATTCATTGTGTAATTCGTTTAGAAATGTTTAATTATGAATGACAAAGCCGCCGCTGCTACTGCCATTGCCGCTGCGGTATCACTTAAAAATGGTATCAATCTTTTTCAGAAAATTTATTACAATTAGCAGATAGTATATTGCTTTTTTTTTTCCTTTCTTCTTTTATGACTTCATTAGCGTCTTAATGTGAGAAATTGCATCATAATTTATCTCATATGACCTTTGACTCCTTATCAGTGTTACTTTTTTGCTTGATAAAATCACAAAGAAAAATTATATGTTCATTATAATCTATTGAAATAAATGAATATAAGTAATAATTAATAAAACTGTAGTAAGTTTCGATAGTAAACATTTCATTGGAGTAAAATTATACTTACTTTGTAATTTTTAATTTAAATTTAAAAAGTTGTTTTTGGTAGTAAAATATTTTATGGAGTAAAAATAATATATACTTCAAAAATATGATGGTGATTTTTTAATAGGAAATATTCCTAGTTTAAAGTAATAACTTTAAACTACTTTATACTTTAAAGTTTTCTTTTTTTTTAAAAAAAAAAAATAGTTTAAAGTAATAACATACATAATATCATAACAGTCATTTTACAAATAATAATTAAATATTACAATATTTGAAAACTTTTTTCAAATATATAAAATTTAATTTTCATATGCATAAATAAATGAATAATTGCTATTATGCATAGATATTAGTATAATTTTTCATTTCTTTATAAAAAAAAACAACAAAAAAACAAAGTAAAATTTCAATTTTTCTCGAAAGCTTTTTTTTCAAATTTTTTGTTTCATTTTCTAAATATTTTTTTTTTATTTTTATTTTTAGTTCAAAAAAAATTATGAAGTTTTCTTATTTTTATTTTTTCGTTTTCCACAAAAATATTTCAGGAAGAATAAGATTGAATATTTGGCATTTTGTTATGAAGCAATAGTCCCAGTTCAGTAATAAAATACTTCGTGACGAGCGGTGTTGGCTGATTTTCTTTTTTCGCTTTTTTCGCTTTTTTTTTCTTTTTGACACTTTTCCGGAAAATATAAACAAAACGATAAATAACCAAGAAAAGAAAAAAAAAGCAAACATTTTCAAATTGTAAATTGAATTTTATTTTTTGCCTATAATATTTCATTTTCCTGAAAAAAAAAAAAAGAATTTAAGTGAGCAAAGAAATTACTTCTTTCTCTCTCTCTCTCTTTCTCTCTCTCTCCCTCTCTCTTAGGTAATTCCCAATGGATCTAAGTAATGGAATTTGATGTTGCCGCTTTTTTGCTTGACCCTGATGAACTTAGCAGTTACCCGCACTTTGTTTATTCCCTTTCTCTTGGGAAATGTAAAAAAAAAAAAAAAATAAGTCAGTAAATTTCAGACTATTTCACATCAATCAAATATTCTTTATTTTATCTTTTCAAAATCCTTAAAAATCAACCAAACGAATTTTTTTTTAACAAAAAAAAAAAAAATTATTAGCAAAATTATTTTATTTATTTTTTTGTTTGTTTGTTTGTTTTTTAATATTTCTTTCATCAAATAATAAGAATAAAAAAAAACTTTTTTGAGACAGAAAAGATTAATAAAAATAAAAAAAAAATGTAAAAATTTTTTCATTATTAAAATTAGAATTTGTGCCTTTTATAATTTGAATTTTTGTTTTTTTTTTTGCAAAATTTAATAAAACAGTAAACATTGAGTTTTTTTTCAGTTGTCAAAATTGAAAAAATTTTAATTTGTACCAAAAAAAAGGAAAAAAACAAAAAATTAAGAAAAATGTTAAAATTTAATTTGAAAAAAAAAAAGAAAACTGATAATTATTTCAAAAACAAATATTCAAGAATTTAACAAATTTAACAAGAATCACAGAAATGATAATTTTTTTATAAACAAAATTTCCTCCCATAAAATTTATGAAATATTTTTCAAATATATTTTACTTAAAAAAAAAAACGCAAAAAACCAAATCTATGAAAATAATATTTATTCAAATAATTTTTTATATACATATATCAATCAATCATTTATAACTAATTGTTTGGGAAATAAAAATTTACATAAACAAATGAATTTTTCAAAAAATTTGCTTTCTAATTTTTTTTTTGTTTTTCTAAAAGTTCTACAGTATTCGTAAATCATTCATTCATATTTTCTAAAATTTTTTTTTCTTTCTTTTTTTTCAAAATAATTTTTATGTGTTGCAAAATTATCGATGTATTGTAGTATCTTTGTTAGATAATATTATTTTGTTGAACGGATACGGATGTACGCTCCGTTACACTTCAATATGCAAATTGAAAAAATTAAAAAAAAAAAACGATTTGAGGAAATCGAAGAAAGCAAGCAAAGATGTCAACATTAATGAATTTTTGTCAAATATTTTGAAA